ATGGTCACATCCAAGGATGGCCCAGGCGTCAGGGAATCCTGGCACGGCCAAACGGGGCTGAGCATGGAGCACAGGAACAGTGCAACCGCCCAACCCTCCACCTCCACTGTGCAGCCCAGGCCCCTTCTACCTGCCTAGAACCTTGAAGATGCCAGGCACTCCTCTGCCCAGATCATCTCCATAATCTCTCTGATCTCCGTGGACCTCTCCAGTACGCCTCTGCCAGTACCAATCTATTCAATCTTCGCGTTTGTCACAGCTGCCTAGGAAGGACACAGCCCAGAATCCAACATCCACCAGCAGACCTTATCATAGCTGCCCTAACAGGGTTCCTGGCAGTCGAGCTCCTCCTCCTCCAGGGGACCCTGGCCCCTGAGCATCTGTGGAGCTAGCCGGTCCTACATCTCTCTGCCCTTCTCTCTCACCCTACTGTGCTGAGGCCTTGCCCAAGGCCACAGAGCTTGGTGGAAGGGGTGGAGGGAGGTTTGCTGTCTCCCTTCCATCATCACGCAGGGGTTCAGTATGGGGGCAGCATGACACACACATGGGAAAGTCTTCAGGGTTTAGGTGAAGGGACAGAGGATGGGGGCTAGCCTGCAAAGGCAGAGGAGTGTTATTCCGAAGTCTGTGAGGAAGGATTTCAAGGAGGAAAATATAAAAATCAGATTTGCATTTCAGATCACTGTAAGATGAGAAGGATGGGGGCAAGGTGCTAACACAGAGCCATGACCCCTCAGGAGCAACTGCTGAAATCCCAGAGGGTCACGAAGAGCCACAGAGGTGGGCTATTTGGTGGAAGGGATGGGCCGCAATCAAGGATATTTAGGAAGACGTTCACAGAGAGCCCAAAAGTGAGGGACGAGCCCCCCAGGTGTCTCGCTTCGCCTACTGAGTAGACCACGCCAGAGGTGCCGGGCGGGATGCAGTGGCCAGCAGGCCTGGTCCCTCACGGAAGCAGGAGCCTGTCAGGCCATGATGCGCGGTTAACGCTACTGCAGCGAGACCCCGCCGGGTCCAGCCCCAGCTCACACCCCAGGCCCGATAACCGGTGGAGGTGGAGGTGGAGGCGGAGGTCGGCAGGGTCCCAAGACTGATTAAACCCCTTTAGAAAGGGGAGGAGGCATGCAGCCAGCCGGCCAACTCTTCAGACACGACCCCTCTGCACCTGTCCCCGGCTGCGCCCGGCTCACCCCAACAGGACTGGGATCCTTCCCTGCTTCCCCGTGAGCTGACCCGGACCTCCCCCGGGCCTCATCTCCCCCGCCGCCCACAGCCCCACTTGAGGCTTGGGTCGCCAGTGTCCTGTCCCTTCTGTCACCTGGCTTGTCGGGTGGCTCGCCTTGTGCCGTGTTCTGCGTGCCGTGTGAGAAGCCAAGGTGATCATGTGGTGAAACGTCCTTGTGTTTGGAACCCTGAACGTGCCTTCTAACTATATTGACCTTGCTTTATGATTGAAGGGAGCTGCACTGTGGAAAGCCACAAGTCTGTGCTCCTTCACAGCCTTCTTGGGACACGGGTTCCTCAGGTTGCTCTCAGAAATTATTTGGTTGTGGGGCGGCGGGGTGGCTCAGTGGTTGGGCGACAGCCTTCAGCCCAGGGTGTGATCCTGGAGACCGGGCATCCAGTCCCACGTTGGGCTCCCTGCATGAAGCCTCTTCTCCCTCTGCTTGGTATCTCTGCCTCTCTCTCTCTCTCATGAATAAATAAAATCTTAAAAAAAAAAAGATTTGGTTGTGATTTTTCCTCCTAAGAAGCCAACGACATTAAGCGCTAATCTTCACTGTCTTCAGGTGACCCGGGAGAGTGGGGACACTGCTACCACTGCCTTCCAAGTCCACAGCCAAGTACCTCCCTGTGTCTGGTGAGCTAGGTCGCTGGAGGTGAGGTCAGAGTGAAGTTCCCAAACTACACAGTGGAGACGATCATTGGTGGAGACCAAAAACTCAGACATCCCTGGGACACAGATCCCGAGGTGGAGCCCACAGAATCCGAAGCGCTCTTCCCAGGTGCCCGCCAGCCTCCTGCTGGCAGGAGAGGGCAAAGTCCAGGCGCAGCCCAGCCAGGTGGGAGACGAGGCCAAGACGGAGCAGCAGAGCCGAGGAGGAGGCTCCAGCCACCAGGAGGAAGGCCAGCCCATGCACAGGGAGGGAGGGAAGGAAGGACCCCCTAAAGCTTCCGCACCGCAGCTCTGAGCGAGAGCCTGGGGGCAGGGCTGAGGAGCCCGGCGTGCCTCTGTGCAGGCTGCTTCGGGCACCGCGGCCCCTCGACACCCCGGCTGGGGCGCCCTCGCGGTCCCTGAAGTGAACGAGGCAGCACAGCCAGGAGCACCCCGGCACCCAGCGGAGCACCCACGGGGCCTGGCCGTGATGCGGCAGGCCGGCACGGCAGTCCGCGCCCCCCGCCGCCTCCGCCCCTGCCCCGGGGCCTGCACGGCCCCAGCGGCCCGGAGCCACGCTCGCCTCCCCCGAGACGCCCGGCCGCCCGGCCGCCCGGCGCCCCGCCTGGCCCGAGCCCGAAGCCCGCACGAAACCCGGGCACCGCCCCGCCCCGCCGGCCTGAGCCCCCGCCTGCCTACCTGACCCGCAGGTCGCAGGAACCACCAGTCCGCAGGCACGTCGGCCGCGCCCGACCCGGGGGCACCCCGCGCCCCCCGCCCTCCCCCGCCGCGGGCCCCGGAAGTCCGCGCCGCACCTTCCGCCGCGCAGCCGGCGGGATCCCGGCCACCGCTCCCGCCACCCCGCGCTCCTCTGGGCGCCGCGGGGGCGGGTCCCGCGCCCGGCCCTCGCCATGGCAACGCTATACTTCCGGCCCGCGCGGCCCACAGCCGGAAGCCGCGGCGCCCCACGGGAGCCCGGGGGCGGGGCCGGGGAGCCGGGGGCGGGGCCGGGGAGCCGGGGGCGGGGACCGCCCGGCGGGGACCGCTACCCACGGTGCTGCGCCAGCCTCTCCGTGGCGGCGGCCTCCGAGGCGCGGGAGGCGCGAGGCGGGCGGGTGGGGCCGGCAGTCCCGAGGCTCTCGGGAGGGCGCCCGTCTCCCCGCCCTGGGCTTTTAGGGAGAAGTCGGAGTGCATCAAAGCAGAGCCATCCCGGACACACACAGGGCGAGGCATGCCCGGTGCCCTGGGGCGATGGGAAGCCACTGTGGTGGTGGCTAAGGGGTTGGAGGAGTCCGGTCCGGACTCAAGGAGCCTTGAATGTCAAACCAGCGAGACAGGCCCGGTGCCAGGGAGGTGGTGACAGACCTGCAGGAGGGGGCCTCTTTGCGGATAGAGTAGGGCTAGGAGGTCAGAGACGGTGGTCACAGCCCGCGGAGACACCGCGACCCCCTAACCAGAGCTCCGAGACCGGAAGAGGTGGTGTGAGTGAGGGGAGTAGTGCGCTCCTGCGTCCCATCGCCCGGGTCAGCCCCTGCGTCTCCAGGGCGCCCCTCAGCGCCGCAGCCCCAGTTGCGAACCTCCTGTATGCCAACCTCCTGTACGCCGCAGATTTCCAACCAATTAAGAGTGTTGGCTACCCGGACACAGCTGCGACCTGGGACTGGGGTAATAAAGTGTGTCCCTGTGCTCCTCTGGTTCCCCTCGGGCCTGGGGGCCCTGACACCAGCACCAGACACCGCTGCTAGTGTCCTGGACCTAGCACTCGCTTTGGGCAAACCTGCTGGGGAGGGGCAGGGCCGCGCTTTGGGTCACGGTCCAGAGCACAGGCCTTGACTGACTCAAAGGCCTTGACGGATCAGGTGGCCCAAGAGAAGGTGAGGACAGAACAGGGTCTGGGAACAGAGGGACCAGTGAGCCTGAGGGCACCTGCCAGAGGCATTTTTCTGGGACCACACTTCTGGGGCAGGCCCTAGGCCTGCCAAAATCCTCAGAGGCCACAGCCAGGCCTGCGCAGCGGTGCCGGCCCCTCAGGCCCCCCAGCCTGTGGCTCCGCCCTTTCCTAGAGTGCCCTTCCTCCACGCAGGCCACCCCCCACCTGCCTGGGGAGCGTCTCCTTCCATCTAGACTAAGCCTCAGGGTCCTGTGGCTGCCTGAGAAGCCTTCCTGTGTACTCCCACAGCACACCTGTGCTCTCACTCCTGTCCTTGCACGCCCCCTGCGCAGAACTATGACCCATGGAGCTGTATCCTCCAGGCCTGGCCCCAAGAGGTGTCCAGCAAACCCTCTCCAGCTAGGCGACCTCTTCCTCCACACGCACACCCAGGAGCACGGCCCAGGTGCCCCAGAAGAAGGAGGGGCAACCTCCTGCGTAGCAAGCTCTGGAGCTTCGGACCCAGAGGACCAAAAGAGAAAAAGGGAGGCAAACCTGCCTCCAGAAAGGCCTCTGTGGCCAGGGAAGGCCAGTGAGGTAAACAGTGAATAATGAGAGCTGGTCAGCTCACACTGCTGACAGGCATCATGGAGGGCAGGAAGGGGCCTCCACAGCCTTGGGAATCCACTGGGGCCCTGCAGCAGCCCCTGGGGAAATGCCTTGGATTAACTGTGTACCTATTTTGTTCCTGAGGTTTCCTCCAGGAAGCCCCCCCCCCCATCTAGGTCCCGGAAACTGCTCAGCCTTGAACTCTGAGCAGGCCCCACCCACTCTTGGCAGGTCAACTTTGGGTAAATCAACTCCCTTGGCTCCCAAATAGGCCAGCGCAGCCAGGATAAAGGAACCCTAGGTCAGGGGACCCTTCCAAAGGCTCTTCCTTGCAGCTTGCAGGGGTGCTGAAGGCAGCCTAGGAGCGAGGAATGAGGCCTGGGTGGCCGCCTGCAGCCCCCACTGCAATCTTCCCCACCCCTCCCTTCCAGATTAGCTGAAACCTGCTAATTGTGGCAGCCCTCGAATGCTCCCCTCCCCCACCAGCCGATTCCTCCCTCCCTTTGCCTCCCCTCCCCTCCCCCTTCCATCCGAATGATAAAGGGTCTGGCCCGCCAGGCCCCCGGCCTCAGGCCCCCAGCCTCAGGCCCCCAGCGTCTCCTCACTACACCGCCCAGTCGCCTTGCCTCCACGGGGCCAGGCCCCGGCCCACGCTGCCTGCCTCCCCTGCATGGGGCCCTGCAGCCACCCACGCCTGGGGCTCCCTGGGTCGGAGTCGTCCTCCCAGCCCCCCAAGAGGAGGAAGAAAAGATACCTGCGGCATGACAAGCCCCCCTACACCTACTTGGCCATGATTGCCTTGGTGATCCAGGCCGCGCCCTCCCGCAGGCTGAAGCTGGCCCAGGTGAGAGGGACCCCCATTCTCCCTGACGCTGGGCGATCGGACCTTCGGCGGGACCCGTCCCCCTCTAGGCCCAGGCTGGGACTCCGGCCTCCATCCTCACCTGACCCTACCCGGCTAAGCCAGGGCGCCCGTCCAGGCCTGGGCAGCAGGGGAAAGAGCCCAGGTGCTCAGGCGGGTGCACCCTTCCCTCCTGCGGGCACCGAGGTGTTCTGTGGGTGGGGGGGGGAGGGGCGCGACGCCCCTAAGCCTGGCTGTGGGGGAGGGGCGGTGCTGCCCCCCTCCCCCTCCTGCTCCCGCCTCCGGGCTCACGGTGCCGGGCCGACCGGCCGGGCCGCGCTTTCAGATCATCCGTCAGGTCCAGGCCGCGTTCCCCTTCTTCAAGGACGACTACGAGGGCTGGAAGGACTCCATCCGCCACAACCTCTCCTCCAACCGCTGCTTCCGCAAGGTGGGGTCGGGGGCGGGGGGGTCGCAGCTGGGCGGCAGGGCTGTGTCGGGCCAGACGCCTCACCGAGCCTCCCCTCCCCGTCCAGGTGCCTAAGGATCCGGCGAAGCCCCAGGCCAAGGGCAACTTCTGGGCCGTCGACGTGAGCCTGATCCCCGCCGAGGCGCTGCGGCTGCAGAACACCGCCCTGTGCCGGCGCTGGCAGAGCAGGGGCGCGCGGGGCGCCTTCGCCAAGGACCTGGGCCCCTACGTGCTGCACGGCTGGCCTTACCGGCCGCCCAGCCCCCAGCCGCTGCCCAGCCCCCAGCCGCCACCCAGCGAGGGCTTCAGCATAAAGTCTTTGCTGGGGGACTCCCGGGAAGGGGCAGCCCCGGGCAGCCCCAGGGAGGAGGGGGTGCGCACTCCCCCCCTGCCCTGCGAGCAGCCTCCGTGGCCGCCCTGCCCGCTCCCTGGGCCCAGGAGAGCAGAGGGAGCAGACGGGGAGGCTTCCCGGGGGGGGACCAGCAGGCCCCTGCCCCTTTCCCCTGAGCACAGAGCCTGGCCTCTCCACTTACTGCAAGCTTCCCCAGACCCCGGAGGGCTGCCCGGTGGGAGTCACAGGCCCTCACTCTGGGGGCAGCTGCCCACCTCGTACTTGCCCATCTACACTCCCAATGTGGTAATGCCCCTGGCTCCACTACCACCCGCATCCTGTCCCCAGTGCCCACCTTCAACCAGCTCAGCCTACTGGGGGGTGGCCTCTGAAACTCACGGCCCCCCAGGGCTACTCTGGGATCTCGATGCCCTCTTCCAGGGGGTACCACCCAACAAGAGCATCTATGATGTGTGGGTGAGCCACTCCCGGGATCCAGCTGCCTCCACCCCTGGCTGGCTACTCTCCTGGTACAGCCTGTGAGGCTCCTGGGGCAGGGGCGGCTTTCTTCTACCCCTTCCTGCCACCACTGACTTGCTGGGGAACCACGGCCAAGAGGTCCAGGAGGTGTCTGTGGCCGCATCAGCCCTGAAACACCAGGCACCGGCGGTGCTGAGAATCCACCATGTTTATTGGACTACCCCATACCCCACAAGGGTTGGGGTCTAGCTAGGCACCGCTCTGGCCTGGATGCTCAGTCGGGCCCCTCCTACCCCCCCACCCCCAGAGGCCAAACTGCAAAGAGTGGGGGCTTGGCTCGCAGTAGCCCCTTCCTGATCCCACTTTCTCTGTCCGTGTGTCCTTCCTTCCTTCCATCCATCACCACGTGTCACTTCCCACCCCTGGCTCCCGGCTGGGGGAGGGAGACCCTACACGGTGCCTCCAGCCTGAAGCCCTGTCCTCCCTCCTCTGCCTGGGAATGAGGTAGTAGCACCTTTTTGGGGAAAGGAAATCAAGACCCTACTTGGTTTCAGTGGTGGTAGTGGGGAAGATAACAGTAAAGGAGTAGACAACATTTTAATGCCAAGTCTGATTCTTGGTGATGGGGGTGACTGGGGTAGCCGCTTGGTGGGGCCTACCTCCCACAGCCCTGGCATCCCCTGCTGTGCGCCGCGGTGATAACAGCAAATGGTGATAAGGAGGGAGCCGGGGACCTGGGGGAGGGAGCGGCGATCAGGTCCCTAGGCTAAATACTCCTCGCGGGGCAGGGGGACCGACTCGGGAGGGGGGCAGGGGCTTTGCCGCCTCTGCCGGCAGAGGCGCGGCCGGGACTAGGAGCCCCCGGCCTTTTGGGTCCCGAGGGCCGAGCTGGAGTCGCTGTCTGGGCCGGGGCTGGGAGGGCTGCCGGGGGCCGGCGTGGGCGTGCACGGGGTCCCGGTGAGCGGTGTGTCGGTGCTGAGCGAAGACGGCGTCCCCGAGCGCGGGGCCCTGCAGCGCCGGGCGGGCCCCAGCTCCACCTGGCCCACTCGCTCGGCGAACTTCAGCGAGCACACGGTCTCGCCCAGGTCCTCCGGCCGCGTGGAAATCTGCAGGCAAGCGGCGCTGGTGGGCGGCCCCGCTCCGGCGGCTCCCGGCCCCCTCCGGGCCGCCCACCTGCAGCCGCAGCACCGCGGGGTCGTCCGGTCCCCTCCCACTCCCGCCCCGCTCCCGCCGCCCACCTGCAGCAGCAGCACGGCGGGGGCGCCCGGCCCGCACCCCTCCCGCCCGCCCCCCGCCCACCTGCAGCAGCAGCACCGCGGTGGCGCCGGGCCCGAGCGCGGGCTGCAGCAGGCGCGTGAGCTGCGAGTCGCGGAAGGGCACGTGCGGCCGGCGGGCCCGCAGCGCAGCCATCACGCCGCCCAGGGCCAGCAGCGAGCGGTTGATGGTCCGGGCCTCCCGCAGCCGCTGCGCGCCGTCTCGGTCTCCCCGCGACGTGCCGGCCGCCCCCACCTTCCAGGCACGCTCGGATCCCGCCAGGTCCACCAGGTGCAGGGTGCCTGCCGAGGCGAGCGATCGGGCGTGGAGGGAGCCCCAGATCGGGCGCTGCGAGCCCCCCGACCCCCGCAGGGCTCAGGTGCGCACCCGGTACCTGCGGTGCCCAGCCCGCGCGGGGGGGCCGCCGTGCGCAGCGTTAGCGTGACCAAGGCATGCGATCTAGAGCTGTGCCGATTCTTGGTGGTGGCGGCGGTAGCCCGGTTGCTCCTCCCCAGGCTCAGCATCTGGAGGGCAGAGGGACACGACCGGCCTGCCGCAGGGTCTGCGTCCCTGCGTGGGAGCACAGGTGGGGGGCCTTGGAGAGCTGCTGGGAGGGCTGGGGGGGGGGCGCGATGCCACTGGGCAGCCTTACCTGGTGCAGCGTCTCCAGATTGGGCACATCCCAGTACGTGAGGCCAGCCACCTGAATGCCCCCCTGGCCTGCCGGGCCCTGCCTGACGGCCAGGCGTTCAGGAGGCCCTGGGGCTAGGAGGTCCCTAGTGAGAAAGGGAAGGGCTGGGTTTCCGAGACTCCCAGGGTCACTGGAGGGGCACAGGATACAGAGGACGGGCTATAGCATGGCCCTGACCTGACAGCCTCATTGTAGATCTCCACCATGCTGAGAGTCACACGGTGGTGTCCCCCGGTCCCCATCTCCTGGAACAGTGACTGCAGTGCCCTAGGAGCTATGCCAGGGTCCTCAGGTGGGCCCTGGAACAGGGCAGGTGCTGCATCAGACTCGCAGCCCAGTTCCTGACCCCAGGAGCCTCCCAGGGTCTCCCCTTCCCACCTCCATACTGTAGGTCTTCCCCGTCCCTGTCTGACCATAGGTGAAAATGCAGACGCTGTAGCCTCGGAGGCAGGACAGCACAGCTGGCTCCAGCTCCCTGAAGACCTAGGGGGAGGACGGGTGCAAGGGGTCCTAAGCCCCAGGACTTGGGACACAGTGTGGACAGAGCTTGGTTACCCAGGGAGGATGGCTCCAGGGGAGCATGGTGGAAGGGCAGATCTCCCAACAAATTGAGGTGGCTCCCTGGAGAAGCTGGCATTTGCAAGAATTTGCCAGGCAAGGAAGGAAAGGGATGTGAGAGAACAAGCGACACAGAGCGCTGGACTTCTGAGGAGGCTTGGAGGCCCAGGGGAGCAGCAGCCAGAAGCCCAAATGCTGGGCTTGACTGCCAGGTTCAAAGCCCAGCTGTGACGGGAAGCAAAGCACACATGGATCTTCTAGGCCAAGGCTTCCCCTCCAAGGTGACCACTGCAGTGACACCTGGTGTAAAGATCAAGGGGAGCTCGGAGCGAGAGGACTCACATAAAGGGTGAGCCCAGGAGGGCTCCACAGGTGCACAGAGGGTGGCTAGCCAAGGTCACAGGAACCCTGGCCCTGGGAGAGTCCAGAGGCAGCTGAGGAGATGTGGCTGGGACTCGTATCCTGTTGGCAACTGGACCCCGGCAGTAACCTTTTGAGCACCAACATGGCCAGCTTTTGTGCCCAGAAGGCTGGTAACTGAGTAGCCTGTGGGTTCTACTTAACGCCTTGACTGCCAGCAGCGAGCGCGGAATACAGAATTGCCCGTGAGGTCACTAAGATTCCATGACTGGCAGGAAGCACTGGGGGTGACCGGGGTGCGGGGACTGTGTGGTGTCCTTGCAGAGATGGAAAACGCAGGTGAGGGGGCTCAGTGAAAGACACCTCTGGTCGGACACATAAGGGACAGCGGTGTCTAGAGGACTGCCCAGAAGGTAGCAGACCGCGGGGGGGAGGGGAACGGAGGGGGGGGTGGGGGTGTTCGAAGTCTGGGAAGCAGGCTGAGACAGGGGAAGTGTGTGAGATGGAGACACAGGCGAAAAACAGTCCCTGCTCTCCAGGAAGTGGGCGATTGAGCTCTGGCCACCTGCCACCTGCTAGCCCCTCCTCACACTGTCCCTGTGAGGCCAACCCAGGTCGGAATCTTGGCTAGCTCTGTAGTGATTGCCTCTGTTTCCTGAGCTTTGGAAGTCTATGTGGACAGAGACGGCCAGTATAGGAAGCAAGGTGCTGAGCTGGGCCTGGGAGTCAAGGGGAGGAGGGCAGGAGAGTGCCAAGGCTGGAAGCTACTGGCTCCCCGGCCCTTGCGCCCACCACACCCTGCCCTGCGCTGCCCCACCCTGGCCCTGCCCTCACAGCTGGCCCACTCCACCAGGCTTGGAAGAGTGAGCAGCCCATGAAGCCTGGGGGCAGGTCACAGCACTGTCCCCACCACAGCAGCACCCTGGCCCTGCTCTGCAGCCAGCTCCCTTTGAGCAGCAGCCATCATATCAGACACGCTCATTTTTCTTACTTCCTTAGTAAAAATTTACCTTTAAAAATGTTAACCTTTCCATTAAACCAGCAGGCTCGTTTTCATTGAAACTGCAAAGGGATGTAAAGGGAATATTCTGGAAGGAAAGGAGGTATCCAGCTAGGCTGTCATTCTTGCCTCCCAGAACCTCCTGTTTGCTTCCCTTCATGGGAGTCCAGCTACTGGGAAGGCAGAAGGAGGGGAACCCAGAGCCTCTTCTGACTCTCAGGCAGTACAAGGGAAGGTTAGCACAGGTGCAAGGGCAGAGCATCACCTCCTCCTGGCTGGCCTCTGGAGAGAAGACCCAGTCCAGGCGGAAGCGACGCTGGCGCCCTCGATAGCAGGTGGTGACAGTGCCACTGGGGCCAGGCTCCGAGCTCACCGGGCTGGAGGGTGTCCCTGGCCTCAGCCGACACAGCACACGGATATTTCCTGGGGTGGAGATCACATCAGTGGGCTGCCTCCGGGGCCCTGAAGCACAAGGAGGCTCTCCGTCCTCAGGCTCGCCGCCCCACTCCTCTGCTCTCCAAGTCTGCCATACCCTTGAGCTCCAGCAGCCGCCCTGGGCATCCAGTTGGGGGCCTCTGCTGCTCCTCAGGGAGCTGAGTCCCAGGCGTGCCAGCTGACAGTGCACCCAGGGCCCAGGATACCTGGTGGGATAGGAATGTGAGGAAGTGGGGGCTGGGGGGGGGTGCTGGGGCAATGCGGAGCTACCAGCTGTGGTGATGCACAACTTATACTGGCTTTGGGCCCCTAGCAGCATCATTCGGTGGGGCCCAGGATGGAAACCCAGAACGTGAGGAGGATCATGGAAAAAGACATCTATCTCCTATGGGGTTGACAGTTCCGTGAGGGGTTTACTGTTCACCCTAGTTTACACAGACAACAATGAAGCCCACAGGCGAGATCACACCCAGAATGGGTGAGATCACAAGCTGTTCTGATTCCAGAGCCTACCAGCTGCATTGGAGCAGGCAAGTCCCTGGGGTGGGAAGAAGGAACACAGGCCCCCATGGAAGAACAGTGACCCGGCTGCCCAGAGAGCATGCACTGGAGAGGGGGCAGTGGTCCTGACCTGACCCCGGGCCTCACTGAGCGAACACTGACAGCTCTGGGTAAACGTGCTGACCAGTCCTCGGAGGTCCCCACAGCCCTGACGCAGGCTGGCCATACGTGTCCGAAGTCCTGGCAGGGAGAGTTTGTTGTGAGGGAAAGCCCAGCCCCCGGCCTCCCCATGAACCGCGGGTCCCCGCCCTTACCTGCCAACTGCCCAAGCATCTGCCGCAGCTCCCTTCTACAGTTCTGCTCAGTCTCCTGCTGGAGCTGCCGAAGGGCCCCCCGCAGGCCCTGCAGCTGCACCTCCTGCACCCCCAGCTGGCCCACCCAACCCCACCCCTGTCACTGAGGCAACAGGCACTTACCAGGCCCTGCCTCAGATCCCACCCGCCCCCCATGGCCCCAGCCTTCCCGGCCCCTGGGCTCAGCGCCCACCTGGACTTGAAGTGCTTCTGTGGTGTCCTGGGCTTCCTGAAGCCGGCTCTGCAGCTCCACCAGTGCCTCCGCCTCCTCCTGCAGGAAAGGTGGGAGCCAGATCAGCTATGGAGCCGGCAGGGACGTGAACGAGGGCGCTCCAGCCATCCCATGTCATGGACGGGGAAGTCATGTCGAGAGGGGCGGGCAGAGCTGGCCATGAATCCACATCTCCCCACTTTAGGCCGGACGCCTTTCCCCAGGTCCCTCTGCTCTCCTGAGGCCGTCACTGGGAAAGCCACAGGACAGGGTAGACGTGTTCTCCTGCGGGCATGGGTCTCCTTGATGGGGCTACCTTGCACAGACCATCCCAGGGCCTGTCCACACTCCTAGGCTCTGGCCCTGAAAGGTCAGAGAGGCCCCCCTGCCTCTGTTCCAGCAGCATTAGATCCTGGGCAGTGTTGCAGGTAGCCAGCTAGGTGTGCAGGAGCCCCAGGCGTCAGGAATGGTAGCAGCTAAGGAGGATACCTGGGGGGCCCTGGTGGAGGGGCCAGGACCCCAGTGCAGCAGGAGATCCCGGGTGAGGCTCAGGCTCTGTTTAAGAGCCTCATTCTCCAGGGTTAGATGCTGAACCCTCTTCTCGGAGTCTGTCGCCCCCTGGCGGAGAGAGAAGCCCTCAAGACTCACCTGGAAACTGGGGCCACCTCTCATCACCCTCCGTCACCCTCCCCGGGGGGCAGGGGGGCAGCCAGCAGCCTTACCACTCCCAGGCGCAATCGGCCCAGCTCCTCCTCCTGCACTTCTAGCTGCTGTCGCAGCTCTTCTAGCTGACGAGGAGGGAAGGGCACAGGGTGAGGCATCTCCCTCCAAGGCCCTCCACCCTGTCCCTGTTGCCTTCGGGACCCCTACCTGTCCAAGGATGAGCTGCTCCAGCCGCTGCCATGCCCTCTGGTCCTCCTCCAACTGGGGAGGGTTCTGCCCCTGGGCCTCATCCCTTGGTGAGAGAGGAGGGCTTTCTTCTTGAGATGGGGATCCTGGGGTGGGATCAGTTAAGACTGATGAGGTCTCTAACCTGAAGAAGGGGACACCTCGGGAGCAAAGCTGGGCATGGGGCCCCAAACTCCAGGCCGCTCCGTTTCTGCGGGCTTCACTCCCTTGCCACACTCCCTTTACAACTTACTACTCCCTACGCACCAGCAGGAGTGGGGCACTGCCCCTCAGCGGCTGGCTGAGTCCCCTGGGACAGGGCCTGCCTTCCCCTGGGGCTCCGAATCCACGCCAGGAGAGCCAAGAGCTGACCGGTCACCGTCAACAGTGGGGGGACATCGGTCGGCTGTAAAGGACACAAGGACCAGAGCAACGGAGGCTGAGGTGAGGACAGCACGGGGAGCCCAGAAGGCCTGCGGACAGTCCCGGTGGGCTGGAGAAGGATCCCCAGCCCGGCTCACCTTGGTCAGGTCAGGAGGATTCCCGAAGCTCTCTTCCGCCCCCAGCTGGACGGAGAGGAACTCAGCAAGACGCACGAGAGCCTCTTCCAGGGACACCTCGGCAGGGCGGCCCTCGGCTCCCTCTTCCGGCCCATCCTCGGACTCGGAGCAGCCCGGGAGGCCTGGGAGCGGGGAAGGCGAGGCTCGCGGTTCACAGGCCGGCAGGAGGCACCTGCTGGGCCCCTCCCTCCCAGAGAGGTCACGGCACCCCGCCTCCCTCGGCCGGCGGGTTCCCTCCCGGTGCACCGACAGCACCTACCGACCAGGCCTGTCAGCTCGGTCCACAGTTCCGCCGTGGGCGGGTCGGGGCGGCGGCGACCCCCGCGCTTGCAACCTGCAGGCTAGGGAGGGAGCAGCGGGACCTCTGAGGATGGGGGGCAGCCTGTGGGCCCCCCCTCCGAGACCGGGCCGAGGGAGGCGAGGTCTCCGCTTCCAACACCAGAACAGAGACGGAGCCCCCCGCACGGCACCCCCGCCCCAGCGACAGCGCCCCGGGAACAAACGCTGCGCGGGCCCGCAAAACCCGCTCGGAAGGGGGGCGCCGGCCCAGCTGCGCCCGCCCCGCTCACCTGGACGGGGTCCTCGGGGTCGCCGGCCGCCGTGGCAGCGCCATCCCTGCGGAAGAGGCTGTAGAAGATGTAGATAAGCAGCGAGTAGAAGGCGTACATGGGAGCGCGGGGCGGCAGAGGGCCCGCTTCGCGCCGCCCCGCGTCCCAGCACCCCGACTCCGCGCCCGCGCGCTGCAACACCGGTGCGCATGCTCGGGGCGGCCGCCCCCACGGCCCCGCTCCCGCGGGCGGAGGGCGCGCGCCCGGAGGAAAGGGGGTGCCAGGGACGGAGTCCCCAGGGCCGCACCCGGACACCCGCCTCGCGCCTCCCACCCCTACTTCACCGACCCCAGGCTGACAACGCCCACGGCCTCCGCACGGCCCCTGCTCGGAAGCCGCCCCAGCCTCCTGCGGAGGCTCCTACCGCCCTCGCCCCTCGCAGCCGGCAGCGGAGGGAGGCCAAGCTCGCGTCTCCACGGAGCCCCGGCCCTCATCGCCCCGCCCAGTCCGTCCCAGACCCCTCCAGCCCCGCGCGGCCCGGCCCAGACAGCTTGTCGCCCCGCCCAGTTCCCCTCTCAGCCCCGCCTAATACCCTTCGCAGCCCCACCTCGTAGCCCCGCCCCGCCCACATCCTCTCAGCCCCGCCCAGTACCCTTCGCAGTCCCACCTGGTAGCCCCGCCCAGACCTCCTCTCAGCCCCGCCCAGTGCCCTTCGCACTCCCACCTCGTACCCCCGCCCACACCACCTCAGCCCCGCCCAGTGCCCTTCGCACTCCCACCTCGTAGCCCCGCCCACACCCCTCAGCCCCGCCCAGTACCCTTCGCAGTCCCACCTCGTAGCCCCGCCCCGCCCCCTCTCAGCCCCGTCCAGTGCTCTTCGCACTCCCACCTCGTAGCCCCGCCCACATCACCTCTCAGCCCCTCCCCTCCCACCACCGCCCAGACCGCCCTCCCTCCCGGCCCCGCCCAGACCGCCGTTACAGTCCCGCCCATACCCTTCCCAGCCCATCAGCTCCCTTCGCAGCTCCGCCCACAAGCCCTTTCACAGGCTCCGCCCCCCCGCGACAGCCCCTCCCCTCTGCCCGTACCCCTCCTCCCCTTTCGGCCCCGCCCACAGCCCTCCCCTTCACTGTCCCTCCGCTAGCCACCTAGCCCTCGGAACCCCGCGGGTGCCTTACCCGGATCGGAGGACCGAGCTCCCTCCTCCGGGTGGGCCCTCCGCCCTCGCAACCTCGTCCGGCTCTCCTCGGACGCCCCCTTCGCCCAGGCCCCGCCCCCCGCCGCCGCTCTAGCCTCCGCTCCTCTCGTTGGTTCGTGCCCCGCCCGCGCAGGGCTGGAGCCGGGGCCCCGGCGGGCGGTGGGGCGGGCGACTTCGGCCTACTGCTCGCCATCGCGTCGGGGAGCTCAGCTGAGCCGCCGTTGAGGGCCTGCACCGTAGCTGCTCCCAGGCCCGGTTCCGAAGACGGCGCCTCCCCGAGCGCAGGAACCAGGCCGAATGGGCCTGCGCACGACTCTCCCCGAGGCCCGGAACCCCCACTTGGACTCCAGGGCCCCAGAACTCACGCCCTCCCAGGTCTGACTCGCTTTCCCCCCTCTTTTCTCGGCCTAACTAGGTTCTTCTTCCCCACAGTTGTGTCCGGTGCCTCAGGACCCCAGAAAGTTTCGGATGAGCTTATCCCAACACTTAGAGATGGGGCTCTGGAACCTGGGAGTCCTGGAGAATCGCCCTTAGGGCTCCTGGTCGAGGGCTCCTGCGTTTTCTTCCTTTCCAAAGTTCTGAGTCCCCTTCCTGTTTCACATTCACTACCCCCGAGGTACCATGGCCTCCAAGCCTTGTTATGAGTGGAGTACCACTCTGTCCCACCTGACACTGGGAGTGGTGTCTCTGCATGCAGCCGTGAGCACTGCCCAGGTGAGTACACTGGGGTGGGGCAGGGGTGTGACCCACTCACAAACTGCAAGGACCTGAATCGGGTCCAGTTCCTGGGGTCAGGGAGAGAGTGATGCCAGCCTGAGTCTGGGGACCAGGGTTGCATGAGACCCCAAGACCGTTCTCTGCCTGAAGGAAGGTCCTTGCTCTTTTTTCCCCCCACATCTCCTTCTATCCTTGTGCTGACAGGCAAGTCGAGGGGCCGCTGCTGGCTTCCTGCTCCAGGCCTTGGCCTCTGCCACCGTGCTGGCCCCAGGGCTGGGCACAGATGAAGACTCTCTTGCTGGAGCCTGGGTGGCCACTGTCATCAGTCTGCCCCTTCTGGCCTTTGATTTCCACTGGGTGAATGGGGACCGCTCCTCTGCCAACCTGCTCCTGGGAGGAGGGATGGTGCTGGCTGTGGCCGGTGACCACCTTGGTGCTGAGGGTCGCTCTGTGGCTGGTCAGGCAGTGGTGCTGGTGGTTGCAGTGACTATCCTCATCGTGGCTGTTTTCACAACCAACACTTATGGAATGTGGGGGGGTGCGATGTTGGGTGCTGCAGGCCTCCTGAGCCGGCTGGAAGAAGACAGACTGCTGCTGCTGCCAAAGGAGGACGTCTGTCGCTGGGCCCTGGCTGCAGGCAGTTGGGCCTACCACCGAGCCCTGCACACACAGCGCCTGCAGTGGGAGTGATGCTTAGAGACAGCATGGTGGGGCTTCCGCCCTGGCTACCACTTCCCCCTCCCACAGGCCTGCTCCCCTAAGGATGGACTCTCGGGTCTCCCAAAAAGAGCTTGCTGCAGGGTGATGGATGCCTTAGTCAGGAGGCCGAGTCCATGCACCACCGTCCCTCCTCTGCCTGAGTGTGGGGACTTGCCTAGACCAGAATGAAGGGGATGGGGCCCCAGGCACATTTTGGGGCCTGCTGCTGGGCAGGCCATGGTTGTGTATCCAAAGAGAGGCTTGGTCTCCAATAAACCTTAGGGAAACAGCAGGAATATGGAATCTGCCCATTCTTGCAAGGGATCGAGGGGTCCTCCAGTGAGCTTTCTAAAGCTTTAGGGCAGCAGCTGGTTTCCTTGTGCAAAAAAGGGGAATATCCTAGAACTAGCCCTGGGGCCTCACTCTGCCTGACCTAGTGGCACCTTTGCCAGGAGGGCCCCTAGACTGAGAAGAACTCATCCCGGGCCTTTGCTCTCCTGCGACACGGTGGAGTTCTGAGTATCCTTGCCCAGCATGGCAGGTGGCCCTCTGGGACAGTGACCTTCACGGGCTGCCGATCGGGATGGGGACAGGGGAGGACTGTGGTACACCTGTATTACAGCTGTCCTCAGAAATGCACCTTCCCTCCCAGAGCTAACTCGACGTGTGCTCATTCGCCCTCTGGCCTGTGCAAGGCACGTCCTGATGTCCCCAAACCCTCACGCTCCTCACCGGACCCCTCTTCCGTTCCCAACCCCGGGATTAGGCAGAATGGTGGTTTAAATTCGGGGTCCAGGGCCCTTTCTCGGGGAGTATCTCTGCTTGCGTGCCTTGGAAGCAACGGCCGCCAGCTGGTCCGGCAGCAGAGGAGCCGGAGCGGCCGGCGGGGTTCTCGGGCGAGCCAGGCCACAGCGCCACGCACGCAGACCTCCGTGTTGCGGGACAAAGGCGCACGCACACCTCCCTCGGGTGGCCCTCGGCTCGGGGACCGCACCCTAGAGGACCGGAAGCGGCGTGCACGCCCCCATCCCCAGGACTTCTCCGCCCGGGGTGCGCGCCCCTCCGCAGGTCGCCGGGGGCCCCGCCTCCTTCCTGCCCACTTTCTGCAGGGGCGGGCCCTCGGGCGTCCTTGCGCGCCCATTGGCCCCGGTGGACGTGCCGTCTAGCCCCGAGCGGCGCTCCCATTGGCCCCTCGCGGTCACGTGACGGGGAGGCCGAGGGGGCGGTGGCGGCGGCAGGGGGGGCGCGCAGCGAAAACAAAGATGGCGGCCGTGCCGGGGTCGGTGGCCGCGGCGGCTTCGGGGCGACGCGCGGGCCGGACCCACTGAGGCGGCGGCGCAGGGAGCGGGGCTGCGGGGTCGCGGCGGCGGCGAGAAGGCGGCGGGAGCGCGCGGCGCCCCTAACCTCCAGCCGCGGGTGCGCGCCGGCACCCGCCCGCCGGGCCGACCGGCCGCGATGTCCGGCGCGGAGGAGGCCGGCGGTGGCGGGCCGGCTGCGGGGCCAGCGGGCGCCGTGCCGGCCGGGGCCGGGGTCGGCGCCGGGGTCGGGGTCGGGGCCGGGCCGGGGGCGGCCGCGGGGCCGGCGGCGGCGGCGGCGCTGGGCGAGGCGGCGGGGCCCGGGATCCCGGACGAGGCGGGCCTGGCCGGCGCCCGGCAGCTGCAGGAGGCGGCCGGCGACCCCGACGCGCCGCCCAAGAAGCGGCTGCGGGCGGCCGAGGCGGCCGAGGCGGCGGCGGCGGCGGCGGCGGCGGGCAGCGGGAAGCTGGAGGAGCGGCTCTACTCGGTGCTGTGCTGCACCGTCTGCCTGGACCTGCCCAAGGCCTCCGTGTACCAGGTAGGGCCGCCGGCCCGACCCCGACCCCGCCCGGCCGCAGCCCCGCCGCGGCCGCCCCCTCCCCGCGCCCCCGGCCCTCGGAAGCCGGCTGAGCCCCGGGGCCGGCAGACGGGTCCTGGCGTCTGTAGGGGAGCTCTCCTCTCGCCTCCTCTCCGCGACCAGCTTCTTTCCCAGCCTCGCTTCCCTTGTTTCTCGACTCGAATGTTATTTCTCCGCTTTGTTTTTCAGCCTTCTCCGCTGCCCCAGCTCAGCGCTCCCCAGCCCACCCTCTGAGTTGGCCCCGAGGAAGCTGGTGACAGACGCCCCCCCATACACCCCCCAGAGTCAGCTCCCCTCACTCTGCATCCCTGGGTTCGGGGGATCCTGGTGCTCCCCCTTCACTCAAAAGCTTCTTCTCTGTTCTTTTAGCAGCCACACCCCCGAGAGCTGTCTTGAAGCTTCTCTCCTATATCTTCTGTCTCCCAATTGAAAGAATTCTCCTTTCCTTTCGTTTTGGAAGAACGTTGAAGGGATTTGATCACGTTTTGTTCCTCCCGTCGTTCCTAGTCTGGATGAACCACCTGCATCGAGCCCCACGGTCTGGGTCCCTTCTCTCTTCCCAGCCTGGCCTCATGCTGTGTGGTCCAGATACGCTATGTCCTAAGTTAGACACCCTCCCCATCCTGCCTGACCCACACCAGGCCCTGCTTCTTAGGCTACCAGCACTCCAGGAGGTGTGTCCACCCCCCTTCTCCCAGGTGAGGGTCCAGAATAGTGGCTGGACCCAGTCCTTAACCAGCCAGAGCCATCAGAGAGGGCACTTGGCCCCGGTGGGCCTGCCATTGCATCACAGAGCAGCAGGGGCTACACGCTGGCCCGGGGCCGTTTGCAGTGTGCTGCCCTCTTTGTTCATCTGTGTCTCCACCTCATCCTCTGACCGGGATACTCCTTCTTCCCAGTGCCCCTGTGAGGGCTAGAACACGTTCACGACCACCTTTCTTTGCGCTTTCGGGAGTTGGTCGCGGCTGCTGGGGCCTTGTTTTCCTGCTGTTACTCTGACTGGGGGCAGTGGGTGAGAGGGCCGTTGTTGTAGTAAGCAGTACGAAGCTAACCTGGGTTGCCGCTTCCCCAGCCTGTAGGTCTCCAGGTCCTTTCCTACTTTGGCAGGAAGTAGCTTAGGAGGACCCTGGTGTGCCCAGGTAACAGAGGAGGGAGGAGGCATTGGCAGGGGAGTGGGTTGAGTTCTCTGGGTGGAGGATACTGGCTCTCAGCCTACCCTGGCGAGAGGCCCTTGCTCAGGAACACCGCAGGTCTTCTGACCCCACTGGGGGAACGCTTCCCATAGCCCCTCGGCCTTGGAGGTACTACCCTCAGGAGTTGTGTCCTCTCCAGTCCCCTTTTTCCTTGCCCGTGATCTTTTGATCCTCTTAGGTAAAAGAACTTTTCCTTGCTTGGGTCTTAAATGAGAGCCCAAACAGCCATGCTAATGATGGGTGGGAGGAGGGTCCCAGGGGAATTTGGGGGAGTCTCCCATCCTGTGTATTAGACCTGGACCTGGCATGATGATATGATGACAGGCCACATGGTGCCGCCTCCTGGTCCACTCAGCACAGAGCCGAAGCTCTGCCTCTGGCCAGAGCCACTGATGGGGCCTCTGAATCTGGCTGGTTCAAACCGGCCCGCACTGTGCTGGGAGCTGAGCTCTGTCCTGGGCGGGCTGAAGGCAGGCAGCTAAGCAGCTGTGACGATAGAGTGAAGGAGCTGAGGCAGCCCGACCTGTGGCCCTCCCCAGGCCTATTGGGCTCTGCTGAGCAGCTGCCCTGGAAACAGGCCTGCTAAGCAAGGAGAGTGAGGCTAAGCTGTGGGCTCTGGCACTGGCCCCCTGCTCCACCTCCATCCTTCCCAAGTGACAGCCAGGCCTTGGTAGGGAGTTGTTTCTCTCTCATCTCTAGAGGCCTGGAGAAAGCTCTAGAACATGTTATCAGTGGTGGACCCCTTGGCTCTAGAAATGTTGACCAGAGACCTTCCACGGGTCAGCATTTGCTTTGGAAGCCATGCCATGGGTCAGGAGCACACCTGGCAGGATGCATAGCAGTGCCCATGAGGGGCCAGAGAGATGAGCCAGAGGAAGGAGGGAAGGCTTCTTGGTGACTCCCTGCCGCATACAACCTTGGATGGGGACATTAAGGGTAGGGGTTGGGGTGGGCCTGGAGGCCTGGGCTGTTACCTGGTTGCATCTGAGCTGGGTTTGCTCCCAGGAGGATTTGGTCAGCGAGTAGCATCAGTCCTACACATGCTGTCTCGCAACAGGCGGACACACAGCTTTCTGTGTGTCCCTGGTTGGGGCCTGTTATTAGCCATCACCTCGTGGCCTGGGCTCAGCCCCTCCGTTTCTGCTGGCCTTCTTTGGTAAGCCGTGTTGACTAGCCATTTCCGGTGGGCTGGTGTTGGGCACGTGATATGTTCTGTTCTCCTGACCCACCAGGACGCATGGTTTGGGGCAGGCACCACGTGGTGCCCAGCTCTGGGGTGAGGAGAATAACCAGTGGCCGTGCTGAGTCCTGTGCACTGTGCCTGCCTGAGCCTGGGGGACAAATCCTTGTGTCTCGAGTCGGCTGAGCGTACGGTAACTTGAGAGCTTGCCCTGTGGCCACCAGACCCCACCTATGTGCTGCCAGGGGAGCCTTGGTGGTGGCAAGAGCTCGCCTCGAACAGACTTGCCCCCGTTCCCAAGTCTGAGCGCCTGGCTCTGCACAGCTGGCTCTCCCACACATCTGGCATGCTGAGCCACACACCTGGGCTGGGGAACTTGCTTTGGTGTAAGAGCAAGATGCTCATTCAAATGGTTTCCCCCGTGGCCTACTTTACGCAGGTCAGGCCAGGGACAGTAGGTACGGCAGGTGCTTTGATGTTCTCTGCGGGTGTTGGGTGTGTCCCTGGTGACTGGCCTGACAGGGTTTGGGGCCACTCGCCAGAGTCGCAGGCAGGCACCGAGGTCGGGGCAGGAGGGCTGGAGTGAGTTGCAGCCGGGACACTCACGCGGGGCGGGCAACAGGTGTGTGCGTAGATGCAGACTGTGGCTCTGGGGCAGGGTGCCCGGACGCCTTGCGCGTGTGAGTGCCTTCTGTGGGGGAGGCACAGCCTTGGTGGTGCCTGGAGCAGTGCACGTGTAGCTCCCCCGCCTCCACCATGTTCTCAGCCCGAGAAGTTTCCTGTGATCCCCGTCGGGGTGAAGGAATAGTCAGGGGTCTCAGGATGTGGCCCCCAGCTGGCTTTCTGCCCTGGCACTCGCGGCCTCAGACCTGCCTGCCCCCAGCACGTTGCTCCTGTGCCCCTTCTGCCTGGCTGCCGTCTCCCACCCCTCCTCCTCTTCCAGGGCCCCACAGAGGCAGTGGCTACGTGCTACAGGATGCTTGTCCTCACTTGACTGGGGCACTTGCCGGTTTCTGCCCTGTGGGGAGTGGGTGTAGCTTGCTGTGCTTCTCACCCATAGGGTTTCCTGTCTCCACCAGGACTTGGGCCCTGGCACAAGGAAACTGGTTACTTGATTGGCGTCACATTGGTAAAAGGCCTAGGAAGCAGGGGTAGGCCCGTCTCTGCCCAGGCCCGGCCGCATGGTCTCAGGCCTGGGGAAGCCTCCAGTGGTTGTCAGCGTGCCCGGTGCTGCAGGCTCTGTTCCCGCTAATCTTTAAGGAATCCCCCATGGGGCTGCCCACCCAGCTGGCCTGGGATCCTCTTCCCTAGTCCTGCCTCATGCTTTGGGCTGAGAAAGGTAGCAGAGTAGAGCTGCGGAGGTGTGTCTGCTTCTCTAAAACGAGCATTGAGAGGAGAAGGTTTCTGAGCTCTGGCTGTGTGAGAAGCTGGGTTTTTGTGTGGTGGTTACTTGTCATTTGAGTTGCCTTTTGATCCAGGGAGTATCTACATATGAGCAAGAACGTGGTTATGGGATTGATTGGTTCCCATCCAGGTCCTAGGTCTTGAGGTGTGACACCAGGACTTCAAACCCGAAACCTGGTGGAGTGTTAGGGCCTGGCTTTACCCAAAACAGCTGCATCCCTTGGACACTGTGAGGTTTGTTTGTTCTTTCTTTTCTTTTTTCTTCCTTTTTTCCTTCTTTCTTTCTGATTTATTTATTTATTCATGAGAGAGAGAGACAGGCAGAAACACAGGCAGAGGGAGAAGCAGGCTCCTCACAGAGAGCCCGATGCGGGACTTGCTCCCAGCAGGGCAGGATCATGACCCGGGTGGAAGGCAGGTACCCAACCGCTGAGCCCCCCAGGTGTCCCTGTGAGGTCCTTTCTTAAGCCCCTTGAATAAAGGGATTGAGGAGACCTCAGGCCAAACCTGGGGGACACGGGGTGCCTGCAGCCCTGATGGGCATGGTGAGGGGGGCCTCCAGCTGGGCTGAGCAGCAGGTTTGGGGTTAGTGCCTTAGCTGTGCTTTGGAGGCTGGACTGCTCACATGGGCCTAGGTGCCAAGCCCTCCTGGAGCCCCCGGCACCTGAGGGGTCTGTGCACTCCAGGCTTAAGAGAGGGCCTAAAAGGCCGATTGGCCGAGGCTTGGTTTCAGGAGTTGGGGAGGAAGGTATTTTCTAAGGCTCTCTTACGGCCCAAGGCCTGGGATCAGGGCTCCTCCTTGTGAGATTGGACGGTACATTTAGTGCCCCTGTCACCCAGGGGGAAGCTGGCCTGGGTGCGTGTGAGCTGCCTGTGGCCAGACGGGGTTGATGGGTGGTGTCCTCAGAGGACAGGTACAAATGCCCGCTCCTGGGCCATTTGCAGGGGGCTAGGGGGCTATGGCTGTGGCTTGGGTGGGACTGGAGGGTCCATGGGTGAGGGAGGGGCGTTTGTTGAAATCACATGCCTGTGCCAGGAGTCCCCTCTGAGGCCTTGCAGGTGGCAGCCCTGTGATGGCTGTGGTGGGTTTTCTTTTGCTCCTGTCATGTGCTGGGGGCTGAGCTTGCTATCATACGTGTTGTCTTACCTCACCCCTTCAGCACATGATGAGGCTAGTCCTCTCCCTGTCACTTCTTGTGCCTGAGGAAAGTGAGGCCCAGAGAGGGAAGCAAGAAGCCCAGGTCATGCTGCTGGTGACCTGTAGGCTAGAGGTCAGACCAGCATCTGTCGGGGAAGCCCTGCAGCGTTCTGTGTTGGGCTGCCCTCTTCCTGCCCCCCTCCCATCAGGATCTTCCTGGCTGGGTGGGTGCTGCAGGGGCTGTTTCTTGGGGTACCTAGGGTCTTGGAGAATTGGCTCTAGCATGCCGAGTGGGGCATTCTGGCCTGCCCTAGCTGTCTATCAGAGGCTTGTGCCCAGCTTGTGGCTGCGCAGACCAGGGGAGGTGCAGTCCAGCCCGGCCGCTGAGGACGCTGCTGTGTTACCGTGTGGCCAGGCCTGCATGTGGAGTCAGAGTCGTGCTCGGGAGGTCAAGGAGGACCTGGGTAGCGGGGAGGGCTCTGGGACTTGGTGACCCACCCTGCTGTGGACAGACCAGCTGGGCCCAGACCAGCTACCTGGTTTTTACCCAAGAACATCCCTTGGCTAACCGAGAGGTGCTGGCTGCATGTGGACGTCCGCTTGTCCCTTGGCTGGGCCAGCAGCACTCTGCAGTGTCTTGCTGGCTCACTGTCTTTTGACTTAACAATGGAGCTGTTGTGGCCTAAGGGGCAGTGACCTGCCTCCCCCAGAGAAGGGCAAGAGTCCTACTGCTCCACGGTGCCCTGTCACCTACGGCTCAGGAGGAGCGGGTGGGAGCTGGCCTGGGAGCTTGGAGGTTCCCGCAGCCCCCTGGGGAATAGGAAGAGACCTGCTGGCAGGAGTGTGCAGGCTGGCTCTCTGCGCCCCAGCAGTGGACTCTGAGGGCAGTGCTGGGAGGTAGGCAGCCATGTGCTTGGCCCCCTTGGTGTGCCTCAGGAGCGTCTCGGACTCCATGTGAGTCCCTCGCCCTCAGCCCACACCCTGCTGCTCTGCCTTGACTCAGACGAAGCCAGGTGCGTTCCGTTGCTGTTCCGCTCAGGCAAGTGGTGGCCACGCTGGTTGTGGCTACGCTTCCAAGGGGAACCCTGAAGTCTCCTCCATGAATAAGTAGTTAGATGAGCGTGAGCACCGTCCCTTGATGCCTCCCGCGAGCTGCAGCAGTCTTCCCTCGGGCCGTGGTTTGACGAGCCTCGGGCCCTCGGTCGGTGCCTCCCGGTGCCTCCCGCCGGGTAGAAGGGGCCTATGGTGTCTGTGCCCTCCCCTCCCCTCCCCTCACGGCGTCTCTGGCTTCTCCATCCACCCCTGGGGGCAACGGGAGAGGTGTCGGGAGCAGGCCCCAGCACAGCCCGGCGGCCTCTGGGATCCCCCCCCAGCTAGCCTGTGTGTCTGGAGCTGGCACTGCCCCCCTGCAAACCTGAGCCCAGCCAGCTCCCTTTCTCATCTTGCACACTTTAATTTTTGGCCTGACTTAGAAATTGAGATTTCAGTACAGATCGTCTGTGCCGTGTGCATGCACGTGGCTTCTGTCCTCAGCACGTCAGTCCCATCGCCCAGAAGACCCCGGGCCCAGCACCCCGTGCGACGGGCTCAGTTCAGGGGACGCAGTCCCCTGAGCTGAGGGGACAGCAGTTGGTGTTTATGAGCGTCCCACGGGTGTGGCTGTGGCTGGGCAGAGGCGTGTGCTGCGTGCCCCTCGGAAGCGTTCTAGACCTCGAGGGGAGCCTGTGGCCCAGTGGCTCTCTGGAGGGGTGCCACGGCGGGCGAGCCCGGGCCAGCTGCTGGCAAGGCCTGTGACAGCGCCATGTGCCCATTCACCCTCGGCCGGCTGTGGGAGGGTTCCAAGTGAAAGTCCAGCTGCCCTGAGTGGAACGCCCTGTGCCCCCCGCCCCCCACGGCCTTCCCTAACCTCTGCCTCCGCAGGGTTTGACCAGCCAGGCCAGGCCTGGGGAGCTACGTCTGCCCAAGGCTTTGCCCTCGTACGTCTCTTTTCTCCATGGGCCTCCTTCCCAGCAGCCCATGTAGTTCTCTGAACGGCACCCAGTGGGAACTTGAGAGGCAGGTGTGGAACCAGAGACCCGAGACAGGAGCAGAGACTGTCACAGGCGCAAGGCTCCCAGCAGGGCAGGGTGCTGACACGCAGTGTCTGGGCCTCAGAGCCGCGGGGCCAGAAGGGGAGGGGCCTCCCTCCTGTTGCCCATAGCCCTGTAGCCCCCGTTCTCTGGGCCTGCGCGGGGCACACACACCCTTGACCCAGGCCAGCTAGGCCGCCCTGCCTGCCACGCTCTGGGCCACCAGCTTTTAGGAAAGTCCCTGCAGGAAGCCAGCCTCACTGGGTGGGTGGCAGCTGTCTCTCACCTGTGCTGGCCAGGGAGGGCTGGGTCGTCTGAGCAAGGTCCCCAGCCCCCGCACGGGGAGCAGCGTCCGCTGCCCATGTGACAGCTGCCAGCTAGGTGCCGGGAGCCTGCATCCCCGCAGGCGTCCTAAAATCAGGGCCTCTGGGGGCTCCTGAGACAGTCCCTGGCTCCAAGCCCCAGTGTGGCCAAACCGGTCACTGCCAGCGGGCCCGCCTCAGTGCGGATCCGCGACATCTGCAAGCCGCCGAGGGCCGCTTTGAGTCACCTCCCTCTCTGCAGGAACTCCCCTGGCCGTGGGCCTCCTGAGCAGTGGCCCTGTCTGCCGAACAGCAGCGTGCCCGCACCTGTCCTGGCCAGCAGGCCCTCCTGCTGCGGCCAGCGGCCCGGCCGGCACGTGCGTGTGTGCACGTCCTGCAGGTCTGTGAGCTCATCTCCCTTTCCTTCTTCGCAGTGTACTAACGGTCACTTGATGTGCGCTGGCTGTTTTATCCACCTACTAGCAGATGCCCGGCTGAAGGAGGAGCAGGCCACGTGCCCTAACTGTCGTTGTGAGATCAGTAAGAGCCTCTGCTGCCGCAACCTGGCTGTGGAGAAAGCCGTGAGCGAGCTGCCCTCCGAGTGTGGCTTCTGCCTGCGTCAGTTTCCCCGCTCCCTCCTGGAGAGGCACCAGAAGGAGGAGTGCCAGGACAGGTAACCTCCTAGGGGCCCAGGATGGGGCTGGCGAGGCCTGGAGTGCCGCCTACTCTGCTTGGTCCCTGCTGCCTGGCCTGGCCTTGGCTCCTGCACACCTAGCCCAGTGACAACCCGGAGTTCCCTTGGGGGCCAGGGTGGAGCTGCTCGGGGCCCAGGCCTGGGGGGGGGGGCAGACAGGAGTGGGCCGCAGAGCGCCGGGCGCTTGGATCTGGACCCAGCGGCTGTTGGGACATCGCCCTGGCTCTCCAGGGCTCTCTGGCTGCGTGGTGGCCTCATAGACCTGGTTGTCCTTGGCATCCTTGAGCCCAGGAGAGCATGGCAAGCTCCGGGAGCTCGGTGCAAAGCTGCATGGGCACCCCAACCCGGTCCTTGCCCGTGGAGTCAGGCCACTGAGACTTGCATAGGGTCCAAGATCACGGTCAGTGACCACTGTTTTCAAGCAAGAGAATCCTCACAGCAAAGGGTGTAGGTGGCATGCGTCTTCAGAGCTCTCGTGCGCTGCTTTCCTGTCTCCCACACACACTCTGACCCCTTCCTGGGGCTGGCACGTGGTGAACATGTCCTTCGAGGGGTAACCTGTGTACGAGCAGGGGACCGAGCAGAGGCCCACCCTGGAGGACCGCTGGGCAGAGCCACCTGCCACAAGGCACAGGCCGTGACCACGGTGCTCACCTCCTCCCCAGGGTGACCCAGTGCAAATATAAGCGCATCGGCTGCCCGTGGCATGGCCCTTTCCACGAGCTGACGGTGCATGAGGCTGCATGTGCCCACCCAACCAAGACGGGCAACGAGCTGATGGAGATTCTGGATGAGATGGACCAGAGCCACCGCAAGGAGATGCAGCTCTACAACAGCATCTTTAGCCTGCTCAGCTTTGAGAAGATCGGTTACACAGGTGAGGCGCCCCGCCGCCCACTGCATGCCGCACAGGCTGGGGGGGGCGGGTGGCTGGGAGCCTGGGGAGCTGTGGGCTCTGAGCCGTGGGCACGGGCCCTGCTGGATGGCCAGGCTCTGGACAAGCTTTGGTGAATGGGAGGACACCTTGGGGGAGAAGACGTGCCAGAGGCCAAGCAGGGGAGGGGCCGGGGCAGGACCCCAGGGGCACCTGCATGGCTCTCAGAGGCCCTCTCACCTGTCCTCCCCTCCCTGGCCCTGCCACCCTAACAAGGTGGCATCCCGCTGCGTGGGGCTGCACAGCCCTTGGGACAGTCAGTGTCTAAGCAGAAGGTGGGTGTGTCTTGGAGGGCCCGGCAGCTAGGGGCCTGCCCTGCGGAGCCAAAGGCAAGAAGAGCACTCAGCACAGCCGGTCCTGCCTGCAGGCACTGACTGCAGTGGCCACGGGCCTCCTGAGGCCATCAAGAAGATGCTCAGGGGCAGGGCTCCTGAATGAGCTGAGGGTGCTCCGCTCAAAATGCAGAGCTGGGAGTGGACGCCCGGGGACGGGCAGGCTGGAGCACGCCCAGGCCCACTGGATCCCGTGGGCTCTCCTGGCCCCGGCCACTGCCTTTGGACACGCTGGGGAGCAGGAAGCAGGCCAGGGCCTGGTCCAGACACAGAGAACAGCGAGAAGCACCTGCTGCCACTGGGGCCACTGAGGGAGACCGCGGCCCTCTACGGCTCGGCCCACACCAGGCAGCCAGCTCAGAGCGTCAAGGGCGGGCTCAGGCAACCAGTCACACCACGCTGCCTGGACCAGGCCTGGCTAGGTGTGGGCCCGCAGGGGCCTGAGAGGCGAAGGGCCCCGCAGCCTCAGCAGCAGAAGGCCGTGGGCCCTGGTTAGTTGCAGCCTCAGCTGCCCCGGTGGGCGCCATGGCACAAACGGTCCAGGCCTCACCTTGTGGGTCTGGGCAGGCTGAGGCATCGTGATCATGGCGGTGGCCGGGCGGGGATCCCCGTCCACACAGGAAGGACTGGCTGCCTCCGTGGAGGGACTCGTGGGCCGTGGGCCCCGGGCTGTGCTGAGAGAACTGTGTGACAGCACAGGAGCCCAGCACCGGGCCACATGCCCGCGCTCTGCCTCGTGCCCCGGCAGGCTCCCGTGCCACGTGCCTGCCTGCCCGGCACCGCCGGCTTTCCTGGCAGCTCTGTATCAGAACCAATAAAGTGCACTTGTTCTCAGAACGCATCCTGTCTGTGTGTCTGCTTACCCACGCCCCTGGGTGGGCCTCCCTGTGCCTGGGCTGGGCCCTGGGGGAGGCAAGGAGGGCGGCTGGCGAGGGTCGGGCCGCTCACTTCTCTCAGCCTCCGGACTCCCTGCAGCTAACACGTGTCACTTCTGTTTGTAGTTGTTTCCCTAAAGCTTGTGTGCGCCTCCATTTGCCATAATTGCGTTTGATTTGCCTTGTGACAAGTAGAGCACGCTGTGTCCTGGTAAGTGGCCTTCCTCCCTGGCTGAGCCTTTATCCTCGGCCTCCGGAAGGCGCCGCTGCCCGCCCCGCCCGCACTGACTGCCGGCTCTCCCGGCCTGTCTGTCTCCACAGAGGTCCAGTTTCGGCCCTACCGCACGGATGACTTCATCACGCGCCTGTACTACGAGACGCCGAGGTTCACGGTGCTGAACCAGACGTGGGTCCTGAAGGCGCGCGTGAACGACTCCGAGCGTAACCCCAACCTGTCGTGCAAGCGCACGCTCTCCTTCCAGCTCCTCCTCAAGAGCAAGGTCACGGCGCCCCTGGAGTGCTCCTTCCTGCTGCTCAAGGGCCCGTACGATGACGTCAAGATTAGCCCCGTCATCTACCACTTCGTCTTCACCAATGAGAGCAACGAGACGGACTACGTACCACTGCCCATCGTCGACTCCGTGGAGTGCAACAAGCTGCTAGCCGCCAAGAACATCAACCTGCGGCTCTTCCTGTTCCAGATACAGAAGTAGGCAGCGCCGCTGGGCTGCCCCCGCCAGCCCGGCAGTGGCTTCACAGTGCTATCTGACCATTTTAGCCAAGGAGAAGGAACAAATGCGAACATTGGGAAAGTCTGCATGCGTGTGCGAAGGTGTGAGCGCTCACACCTCGCCCTCTGCCCCGCCTCCCCTGTCCCGGGCACCGGAGGCCGGGCCACCTGCAGAGGAGACGGTGGCTCAGGGACACAGCAGGGCTAAGCCCAGCGGCCGTGCCCCGGCCCCCACACGCGGTGAGGCGCACCGTCTGCTCTGGGCCGTGCGCGGCCCCTGGGCCGAGCTCGGGGAGCACGCTGACTTCAGACGGCATATTTGATTGCAATTAAAAAGGCACCCTTGTTTCCTACTTTCTGTTTTGTTTGAGGGAAAGGCGTAGCTGCGATTGGACATCGGGGGAGCTGTGGTTTGGCCTGGGGGTCCGAGCCCGGAGGTCCTTGTTACCACACCTGCACGCACAGCCGCACGGGCTGTGGCCTCCCTCCCGGGCCAGGGCCGGTCCTGCGGCGGCCCCAGCGCACCCCCCCGCCCTGCCGCCGGCTGCTGCAGAGAGGCAGGACGCGGCAGCACCCGGGCTCAGCAGATGCTTCAGAATGCAGGGGGAACTCCTGTCTCTTCCCAGGAAAACAAACTCTTTACAGGCTCTTCTAGAAGTTAAAAAGTTTAGCGAGAGGATCTATTTTCTGTATTCAGCCTTGAGGGCACAGCACCCTCAGCCTGTGCAGGAAGCTGTGGGCGCCGCTGGCGATGAGTGGGCCTGGCAGTGAGGGTCGTGGGGGCCGGACGGCCCCACGCTGAGACCTGGGGTGGTCCTGGGGCAGCCTCCACGCCCGCTGGAAGGGGGATCGTGGCCCCTCTCCTGTCTTAGGAGACACGGCTTCTGCGATAGGCTTCTGTTGCTTAAATACCAAAGAACCATTTCCTCTGTCCCTGGCCTGGCCTACCCCAGGCTTCAGAGCAGTCCCCACCGCCCCCGCCTCGCCCTGCCCCCAGCCGCCTGGCCCCCCATTTCCCGGGCCCTGTAGGCTCTGCAGGGTCCCTCCGGAGCGGAGTCACCGGGTGGAGTGAAAGCCTTGCCCTGGTGTCTAGCCCAGGCCGTGGCCCTTGAGCCACTTCTCCCTGCAGGGCAGCTTGCTGAGCTGTATTGAGAAGACGGTGGCAGCTTCCCGTTTGCAGCCTAGGGCGCGGGGCTTCCGGGGAGCCCTCCTGCCAGGCCACCTGCACCTGGCCGCTGAGGGCGCCCAGAGGTGCTGTGCTTGGTTTCCTGCAGCCCGCCACACACACACCAAAGAAAGATGCCAGCCTGGCCGCCGGCACATGTGTGGGGGCTCACCCTGGTGCGAGAGTCCCACTGCCCTCGAGGGCTCCCCACCTAGTGGGCACGGAGGGTGACAGATAGCTGTGGGCCGGCTTGTGTGTGGAGGGGACGGCGCCGTGTCCTTGCAGCTCAGTGGTTCTTGGGGGGGATGCCGTCTTTGTAGAGTTTCTGGATTTGAAAGCGACTGTGTTATGGAGGAGCCAGGGCAGGGCAGGCTTGCCTGAGGGACAGATTTGAGTGGCCGGCGGTGGGGGGGGGTGGCACCCCAAGACTCTGTTGGGCAGGGCGGGTGACAGGCAGCAGATCTGCACGTAGGTCAGGCATGTGGCCGGGCCTTCTCAGCTCTGCCTCTGCAGTCCCGGGGCTAGCAGCCTTGGGGTTGGGGGCGACGGCTTGCTGGGGTTCCTGGCCACTGGGGGCATAGGGCCCACCAGTTCCGGCAGCCCAAGGGCATGGGGGCAGGACGGCACCCACACAAGGCCCTTCTTGCAGGGGTATGTGTCTGGGGGTGGCCAAGAGGAGTGGTCATACTTCCCAGTGTCCCGTCCCCACCTCAGCAGCTGAGCCTTACGGCCTGGGGGACCAGGTACCCTGGGAGATGGTGGTATGTCCCAGCCACGCCTAGGAGCTGGTGTCACGATGTCCTCGTGGCATCTCACCGAGGGTCGTTGATTTACTGGGGATGTCCCCCCCATGCTGTTAGGAAGGAGCAAACAGCAGCAGTCTGTCTCCAGGACCCCTGCCACCTTGGCACCCTGACTTAGGAGAGTAGGGGTGCAACCCCACTGATGTGGGGGCAGCCTGGGGGCACAGAGCAAGCTGGCCCCTCCCTCCCTGCCATGGCCACTCCCGCACAAGCACTACATCCCTCAGTTCACCCAAGTGAGACATTTACAAAAATAATAAAAAAAATAATTTTTTGAAGAGTAGGCGTTTTTATCACTGTGGGAAATGACTTCCATGTCGCTATTGTGGTCTGTGTTCTCTTTGGATATTTTCTGTATGTAACTATAGTTTCAAAAAAACTCCAAACCACGTCTTGTCTGTGTCTCCTTCTGCGAGAAGCCAGCCCCGTGGGTGTGCTTCCCGGGCTCCCGGCGCCCTGGACAGGCGGCGGGGCGCGGCGGGTCAGCGGGCGTCCGCGGTGTGCGCGGGGACCTCGCCCTGGGCCTGCCGGGCAGAGCCGGCCTCCCTGCCGCGGCCTGTGGGTCCTGCTCTGAACCCCAGACCGAGCGGGGGCCCGCGGAGCCCTTCCGCTCCAGGACGAGGGCGCCCGGGTCGGCGCGGTAGCCAGCCGCTCCCCGCCGGTACCAGCCCTGCCCGTCGGCCCCGCCTTCCGCGGGCGCACCCTGTCCCGCAGCCCCGCCCCCCTCGGCCCGCGCGCGGCCGCCGCGCTGCACGGCCGGTGCCCGCCCCGCTTCTCCGCACGGTCCGCTCGCGCTCGGGCTCGGGCTCGGGCTCGGGCTTGGGCTCGCTCGCGGCGGCCTGGACCCCGCCAGACGCCCCCGCGTCCTCCTGCACCGGGGCTGGGCGTGTGCGCGGCGGCGGCGCGCGGCTCGGCCAGGAAGCCCGGGCAGCCCCCGCGGCTCGCGCCCTCTCGCTGCCCCCCGCCGACGCCAGCCGGACTACAACTCCCAGGGGGCACCGGGACGCTGGACTACACTTCCCGGGATGCTCCGCGCCACGGGGGCGGAGTCAGGGGCGGGGCCTGCGGCTGGGAGCGCGGGAAGTCCGGATCCCGGCGAGCGGCGGCCTGAGCATGAGCGCTGAGCGCGAGCTTCGCCGTGAGTCTCCGGGTCGGGAGCAGGCGGGGAGCGGGGCCGGGGGGAGCGGGGAGCGGGGCCGGGGGGAGCGGGGCCGGGGGGAGCGGGCGGGGGGGCGCGGGGAGCGGGCGGGGAGCGGGGCCGGCCGCACAGCCGAGGGTTCAGCCTCCCGGCTCCGTGTCTCTGCAGTGCTGAGCAAGGCCAAGGCCAAGGCCCAGAGGAGCGGGCAGCTGCGGGAGGAGGCCGCCGCCTGCCACCACCTGGGGGAGCTCCTGGCCAGCCGCGGTGCGTGCTCGGCGCCTCGCCCACCTGTGGTCCCGGGTGTCCGGAGGTGGGGGGGTGGCCCCGGGACCGGAAGGGACGGGGGACCCCCGGGGAGGGGCCGGTGTCAGCGCCTCGCTCGCCCCCGGGCCCCGACCCACTGCCCCGCCTTTCGTGCCCACCCAGGCCGCTACGCAGAGGCCCTGCGGGAGCACCAGCACGAGCTGCAGCTCCTGGAGAGCGTGGACGACGCCCTGGGCTGTGCCGTGGCCCACCGCAAGATCGGAGAGCGGCTGGCTGAGCTGGAGGATTACTCCACTGCCTTGAAGGTGGGCTCCCGGCCACCCCGGCACCCACCCTGGCATCGACCACACAGCCCTCTGGGGCCCAGCTTCCTTCCAGTCCCTTTTTTGCGGAGGGAAGCACAGTCTGCAGCGTCAGCCTCCAGCTAGAGGAGGACACGCCTGGACACAGCCTCTTCAGACAGCCCTGTGCCAGGGGCTTGGAGCCCTGTCCTTGGGTGGGCACATGATGGTGGGTCCCAGGAGCCTGGGCCCAGCAACCATTAATGGACGAAACACTTGAGCTGTGTTTGTGGGCCGGCTGGGGAGTTGGGCCTCCCGTCCACAGAGGGCCTGCTCCCGTCCTGGCTAGGGGGGTGCAGCAACCCAGCAAACTCCCCATCCTGACGTTGGCTGGTTGGAGTGTGGCATCACCATTCCCACAGGCAGCCCTTGGCATGGAAGAGAGGAGACGTGTGCAGCCTGGCTTTGGCCCACTCTGTGGGGATTTGGGGGAGTAGGGGACTCTCTTTAGCAAAGGTAGAGACCTCCTGGAGTTGGGGTGCATATGGGATTTGCTTGGAGGGGGTTGACTCCCAATGGCCATTCCTCTGCACCCCAGCACCAGCATCGCTACTTGGAGCTGGCCTGTTCTCTATCCAATCACACTGAGCAGCAGAGGGCCTGGGCCACAATCGGCCGCACCTACCTGGACATCTATGACCACTGCCAGTCAAAGGACACCTTGCTGCAGGCGCAGGCTGCCTTTGAGAAGAGCTTGGCTATTGTGGACGAGAAGCTGCGGGGTGAGCACTCTGAGGCCTAGCTGCCCCAGCCCCTGCCTCCAGACCCCTGGCCCAGGAGGCTGTAGCTGCACTGCCTGTCCTGTCTGTGTGGCACGGCCCTTCCTCTGCAAGGCTGAGACCTGTCCATAAGGCTTCCCATCAGGAGATGTGTGGCCCATACGCCTCCAACCTCAGGTCTGGGCGCGGTCCGCCCTGTGTCGTCCTACGCTCTGTCTACAGCAGGACCCCTGGCACCCACAGTGCGAAATAGGAGGGGTCGGGGAGAGGCTGCACACCCCAAGTGGCTGCAAGGCACTGAGTGGGTGTTGCGGGGGGGCCTCTTCCAGGTACATTGGCCAAGCGAGAGCTGAATGAGATGAGGACCCGACTGTACCTCAACCTGGGCCTCACTTTCGAAAGCCTGCAGCAGATGGCCCCGTGCAATGACTACTTCCGGAAGAGCATCTTCCTCGCTGAGTAAGGCCTCTGTCCCTAGAGGAAGGAGCCCCCGAGCGAACCCCCTGTCTGTCCCTGCCCGTCTCCTATGAGCAGAGGAGGCCCTGCACGCCCAGATCACATCTGTGGCAGGGGCTGGGGAAGGAGCAGGCTCAGCTTAGCATCCGCAGCTGCACGTCCGCACGTCAGGCGCCCTGTGTGCTTTCCCAAGCAGGAGTGCCCAGGGCCTCAGCACCTGTCACCACCCACAGGCAGAACCACCTCCATGAGGACCTGTTCCGTGCCCGCTACAACCTGGGTGCCATCCACTGGCGCAAAGGGCAGCACTCCCAAGCCATGCGCTGCCTGGAGGGGGCCCGAGAGTGTGCACGTGTCCTGAGGAAGGAACTCATGGAGAGCGAGTGCTGTGTGCTCATCTCACAGGTGCTGCTCTCACAGCTCTGGGCTTAGCCACAGAGGGGCTTGGCTCTGGGGAGCCTGCCCATCTCACCTTCCCTTGCCCCCCAGATCCTCCAAGACCTGGGGGATTTTTTGGCTGCCAAGAGAGCCTTGAAGAAAGCCTACAGGCTGGGCTTCCAGAAGCCTTTGCAGAAGGCAGCCGTCTGCCGGACCCTCAAATATGGTGAGCCTGGGGACCTGGGGGCTGAAGTTCCCCCAAAGGGGCGGAGAGGTGGCCACATCAGTGGGGAGCCTTTCCCTGCCCCACCCCCTTGTTGGGAAGAGACCCCCACTTTTCTCTGAGCCTTCAGTGGCAGCAGGGGGCAGGGGGCGGGGGACTGGGATGGTCAGGAGCCTGGCCGGGCATTTATACTGGTGCCAGGATCTCCACGGACAAAGTGGAGACGGAAGTCTGATGTAGGAGGATGGGAGAGTGGACGGCGCATGTGGCCTGTGAGGACCGGCAGGCGGCAGGCAGTGTTGCTTCCCTGCAAGTCAGGTGCTGCTTTAGGTTGTCCTTTATTAGTTCGGATCCTCGTGGGCCCTGTGGTACATTTTCTTACTACCCGCTCTTACCGCGGGGTGAGCGGGGGCCTGGAGAGGGTGGCTGGCCCGCCGGAGGGCACAGCGCAGGGGCAGAGTCAGGGCAGCGCACACGCAGCACCACCCTTCACGCGAGGCCCTGTCCCGCAGTGCTGGCTGTGGTCCAGCTGCAGCGGCAGCTGCAGGAGTCCGAGGGCAGTGACCCTCAGGGTGCCATGGCCATCTGCGAGCAGCTGGGGGACCTGTTCTCCAAGGCGGGCGACTTCCCCAAGGCGGCTGAGGCCTACCAGAAGCAGGTGTGCGTCCCCTGCCGAGGAGGGGTGGTGGGGTGGTAACACCTCCGGCCGCGGGCAAGGTGCAAGGCAGCCCTGGCCTTGCTGTCACTGTCTCTGCAGCTGCATTTCGCGGAGCTGCTGGGCAGGCCAGGGCCCGAGCTGGCCGTCATCCACGTGTCCCTGGCCACCACCTTGGGAGACATGAAGGACCATCGCCGGGCTGTGTCCCACTACGAACAGGAGCTGAGGCTGCGTGGTGGCGACGCTCTGGAGGTGAGCGGGAGGGCGCCCGGCCCCACCCAGGGTGTGGGATACAGAGGGACTCCAAGGAGGTTCCCAAGCTCTGCCTCAGGACTGCCTCCCTGGAGCGTTGGGTGTAGACAGGCACCGCGCCGCCATCCTTCTGCTTCATGGGGGCAACCGTGGGAGCTTGAGCCCGGGGTGCGGCCCATTCAGCAGGTGGGCAGTGGCCCCCAAGCTCATCCTTCCTCCTCCTGCTCAGGAGGCCAAGACCTGGCTAAATGTCGCGCTGTCCCGAGAGGAGGCCGGGGACGCCTATGAGCTGCTGGCACCATGCTTCCAAAAGGCTCTTGGCTGTGCCCAGCAGGCCCAGCAGCCCCGGCTGCAGGTACGGAAGCCTGCCCGCGCCCCTGACCACGCGGGATCCCCTAGCACAGCCTGCCTGTCCTCGCCCCCGCCCCCTTTTCCCCCACTCGGCATCCGGTGCCCCTGTTGCCCTGAGCCCGGCATCCCCCGCTCCTCAGAGGCAGATCTTGCGGCACCTCCACACCGTGCAGCTGAGGCTGCAGCCCCAGGAGGCCCCCACCACTGCAGCCAGACTGCAGGAGCTGAGCGTGACCGGAGACGAGGGGGAAGACGAGGAGGAAGAGAAGGAGGGTGACAGTGACACTCCCGAGGCCAGCGACGTGGAGCTCTCCGAGAGTGGTGAGGCCCGAACGCCACCGTGGCCGCCCCAGCACTTGCTCTCGCTGGGCCCCAGGCTGGGGCTGGTGTGGGGGGAGCTGCCATGGGGGCTGCTCACGGGCCGTGGGAAGGGCGCTCGTGCTGGTGGATGGAGGAGGGCTGGGGGAGCGTGCCTGGAACGTTCCTGGAGCAGCAGGTGCAGTGTCAGACCTGGAGAAATGGAAGGGGGGGCGCGCAGGGCGGGCCACATAAGAGGGCAGGCAGCTGGCGGGCGCCCAGCCCTGAGGCCTTGAGGAATCAGGTCAGATTCGAACTTGAGTGGCTTCCAGAACCTCTGAGTGAGAGGCCAAGCGCTGTGGGGAGTTCATGCACAGGGGGGTTGGGCTGGGGTCACCGGTGGGCAGTGTGGGGCCCACGGGAGCATTGGGGCCAGAGCAGGGACTCGAGGTGACACCGCTCAATGCGTGCTTACTGCAGAAGGAGCACGTGAGAGAGAAGATTCTAGCGGGGACCAGAGGCAGAGAGAGTGGAAGGGACGAGTGGAGGGGAGGTGGGGTTGGGCAGCGAGCAAGCCAAAGGCAGACCTCGACAGGAGGGCCGGCGTGTGCAGGTGAAGGCCCCCTGGGCTCTGGATGAGCTGTTTCCCGGAGCAGGACCCAGGCCAACAGGTGCTTTCAGGAGGGGGACACGAGTCTCGGGTGGGGTCCAAGTGCAGGGTGAGGCGACAGGTGGGCAGATAGGGCGGGTCATCCCCTGTAGGCAAAGGGACCACGAGGGTGGCAGCCGCTGGCAGGGCTGGCAGTGGACAGTGGCGGCCCCGGGCCTGGCAGTCAGGGTGCCCTGTGGTCGGGGAAGCGGGGCTTGGCTCACCCGGTGGGCGCTGCTCTGTTCCAGAGGGCGATGCTGACAGCTTGTCCCAGAAGCCAGAGGAGGATGAGGAGCTGCAGGGCTGCCTGGGCCAGCGGAGCGCGAGCAAGGTGAGGATGGTGAGGGGCATTGCGTGGCCCTCCTGTGGTTGCCAGGCCTGCCTGGTCCCCTCACACCTCTGCCCCCTGTCCCGGGGCAACTGCCCACAGTGGAACCGGCGCAATGACGTTGGGGAGACTCTCCTGCACCGAGCTTGCATCGAGGGCCGTCTGACTCGCGTCCAGGACCTCGTGAGACAGGTGCGCCTGCCACCATGCTCTCTAGGTGCCCTGGGGGCCGGAGTCTTCTCCGGGGGGTGGCATGGGGCACGGGGCTGGAGGGTGCACCGTGGCTGCTAGCCCCCACGAACCCCTGCAGGCGCCTCCCCAAAACGGTGCGTCTCGTGTGCAGACTACCTCCCTCTGCTGGGATGTTGGCCGGGGTCGGGCCAGGCCTGGGGAGGGGCCCACAGTGCTCATTCTGGCCTTTGAGACCCAGGCCCTGGTCCTCCTGGAACCTCAGAGCCCTGCAATGGGCCGGGGGGTAATCAGGGCTAGGCTCCTTGTCATCCTCGGTCGCAGGGCCACCCTATGAACCCTCGGGACTACTGTGGCTGGACACCCCTGCATGAAGCCTGCAACTATGGGCATCTGGGTGAGTACAGGGGCCGGGACACTGGGGCGGGGCTGCCGAGGGCTGGGAGCTAGCTCCTGTCCCCGGCCCTCAGACATCGTCCGCTTCCTGCTGGACCACGGGGCTGTGGTGGACGACCCAGGCGGCCAGGGCTGTGAGGGCATCACTCCCCTGCACGACGCCCTCACCTGCGGTCATTTTGAGGTGGCCGAGCTGCTCATTGGACGGGGGGCATCCGTGACCCTCCGAACCTCGAAGGTGAGTGTGGGGGGCAGGGGGGCTCGGGCTGTTGGGGAGGCGCCCCCGCTGAGCTGGCTGCTGCGCAGGGGCACAGCCCACTGGAGACTCTGCAGCAGTGGGTGAAGCTGTACGGCCGGGATCTGGACAGCGAGACCCGAGAGAAGGCTGGAGCCATGGAAAGGCTGCTCCGGGCGGCGGCGGCAGGCCAAGGCAAGGAGAGACCTGTTCTGCACCTGGGGACCCTCTCCCTGGCCTGAGGGTGCCCCAGGCCCTGCTTCTCAGGGGCAGTGGAGCACGGGTGGCCGGGTAGGGCCGGGACCTCATGCCAGGTCCCTTCCCCCCGCAGCCCCCCACGGCTTTCCACGCAGCCATCTGTTTGACCCTGAGATCTCGCCTCCCTTGAGCCCCTGCCCAGAGTCCCCAGAGTCCCCAGGGGCCCGGCCTTGGAGGAGCAAGCACACGCTGGCCAGCAGCAGCAGCTCAGAGGGCGAGGACGGCCCGGCCCGGCCCACCCCGAAGCGGCCGCGGCACTCTGTCCCCGCACAGCAGGCGGCCCAGAGGCCTGGCTCCAGCAGCAGCAGGGACACCGCGGCGGGGGTCGGCCCTCGGGGCCTAGGCGAGCCCGACCCCCACCGGGCGGCGCTCATCCCCGAGGAGGACTGGCTGGCAGGCAACTGGCTGGAGGACGACTTGCCGTTGACCCACGGCCACCAGGATGGCCCCGTGCCCCGCCCCCAGGGCACCAGCTGCGGCGCCCCCGGGTCAGGCAGCAGGAGCCCGGGCAGGCCGCGGCCCCGGGCCCGGACCAGGCAGAGCCGGTTGCCCCATCTCACGAGCTGGAACGCACCAATCGGGGCGCGGGGAGAGGGTGGCGCAGTGGCAGAGCCCCCGCGGAGCCCCGACATGTCCCAGGCCTCAGGGCCCGGTGAGGACAGCCCTGCGGCAGGCCAGCCCTCGGTGGGTGCCCTGCGCTGGTGGGGATGGAGGGCCGGTCAGGGCCGGGGACCGGGTCTCTGAGTCCGCCCATCGCCCTGCGCCCCCCAGGGTCCACCTGTGCCCCCTCCCATCCGGGTGCGAGTGCGAGTGCAGGACAGCCTCTTCCTCGTCCCCGTCCCACACAGGTAAGGCAGCGCGTGCGCGCCCAGGCCCGGCTCCCCTGGGCCCCGGGAGAGCTTCGTGTGTGCTATCGGGTGGCATGGGCACCAAGGCCTGCACTGACCGGCTGCGTCCCCCCTGCCAGCTGGGGGCTGGTGAAGGCGCCCTGCACACGCGGCAGCAGGACCCGGGCCTGGTTGGGTCGGGCCTTGTGGCCCCAGGAAAAGCCTGGAAGAGCCGGCAGTCTGTGAGGCTGCTGGGGGCCGGGTGTGTCCCGAGCAGGGATGGCGGGGCCGCGGGGCCTCCGTCGGCTCCTGGCCAGCACAGCTCTCCCCCCGCAGCAAGGAGGCCCACTCCGTGGCCTGGCTCGCAGAGCAGGCCGCCCAGCGCTACTGCCAGGCCTGTGGGCTGCTGCCGAGGCTCCTCTTGCGAAAGGAGGGAGCCCTGCTGGCCCCACAGGACCCCATTCCTGACGTCCTGCAGAGCAACGAGGAGGTGAGCGGCAAGAGCCTGGGCACTGAGGGCAGGGAACGCCCCGGCCCTGGGAGCCCCTCGGGCGGCTTACTGGTGGCACCCCTCAGGTGTTGGCCGAGGTCACGTCATGGGATCTTCCCCCGCTGACCGACCGATACCGCAGGGCCTGCCAGAGCCTGGAGCAAGGTGAGGGCCCGGGGGGCACGAAGCAGCTGGGTGGGGGCCCGGGTGTGCAGGCTCCTGTGCCACTTCCAGGTCTGGGGCCTCACGTCCGCCGTGGGCACCCTCCCCGCACAGCTGGCCTCGGGCTTTCATCCTCTACCCCATGCCCACGATGTGCTGGCAGGTGGGGGAAGACAGGCCCCGTTGGCGGCGGGATGGTGTGGAGTCACCAGAGCCACCGGAGGCTGGGCCCGGGGTGGCTTTCCAAGGAAGTGTGCCTTGGAGACATGGGGTGGCTGACGGAGGGTAGGCCCTGCCGAGGAGGGCCTGACCAGGACAGAGGGGTCACCCCGTCCACCGGCCATAGTTGGGGCCCATGCAGGTCCACAGGCCTGTGGGAGTGGGCTCTGCAGCACCCTGCTGGGCGTCCCAGGGCTCCCGAGGAGGCGGGCATGTTTGGCTGGGTCCCCAGGGCGCCCAGGGCAGAGCAGCTTGTGGCTCTGCTGACACCGCGTTCCCCTGCAGAGGAGCACCAGCAGGTGCTGCAGGCCATGGGCTGCCAGGACTCCGGCCCCTCGTTCAGCGCCTGCTCCCTGGCCCTGCGCCAGACCCAGCTCACCCCCCTCCTGCGCGCCCTCAAGCTGCACGCGGCGCTCCGGGAGCTGCGCCTGGCAGGGAACCGGCTGGCGGACGGATGTGCTGCTGAGCTGCTGGCCGCCCTGGGCACCCTGCCCAGCCTCGTCCTCCTTGACCTCTCTTCCAACCACCTGGGCCCTGAGGGTCTACGCCAGTTGGCCACGGGCCTCCGGGAGCAGACCGCCTTGCAGGTAGAGGCGCGGGGAGCGGCAGGGCGGTGGCAGAGCATTGCGTTCAGCCCGTCCTTGGGTTGGGCTGCACTTGGCAGTGCTGGCAGCGCCCGGGGAGACCAATTCTCCAGAGGGGCTCGTGTCTTCCACAGAACCTGCAGGAGCTGGACTTGAGCATGAACCCCCTCGGGGATGGCTGTGGCCAGGCCCTGGCGTTCGTCCTACAGGCCTGCCCCTCACTTAGTACCTTGCACCTCCAGGCCTGTGGCTTGGGCCCCGGCTTCCTCCTGAGCCACCAGGCAGCCCTGGGTAGCGCCTTCCAAGGTGAGCTGGCAGGCACATCCACTTTCTGGCCCCAGGGTTCCGGTTGCCCTCAGAAGGGCACCTTCCAGAGGTACAGCCAACCTCGAGCAAGAGCGGCCCTGGAGCACCAGACCTGGACGCACTGGGCCTGCCTGGGCTCGGGGGCATTCCCCTAGGACGAGCCGTGGGCCGCGGTCCCAGCACTGAGAAGCGGAGACTGGGGGGCCTCTCGGGGGGCTTTCTGCAGCCATGGTGGGCCAGGAAGGTGGGGCTCAGGGATGGGAGAGTGCCGGGGAGAACCTGGGGTGGCGCAGTGGATGGTATTCCCTGGCCCCACCCCACATGCACACAGCCTGGCCCAGCCCGTCTCAGGTACAGGGAGGCAGGTGCCCAGGGTCGGTGGGGAGAAGATGGGCTCAGGAGCCTGGCCCTGCCCCTTCCTTGCCTGGGAGAGCCTCCGTGGGAGCTACCTCCATTCTGCGCACAGTGTCTCAGGGACAGTAGCTTCCGCAGAGGGGTCATGGGGCTGAGGTGGTGCTGGTGTGTGGCTGACCGGGCTTCCAATTCTCTGTGCAGATGCCACGCACCTGAAGACGCTGTCTCTGTCCTACAACATCCTGGGCACCACTGCCCTGGCCCGGGCCCTGAAGAGCCTGCCTGCCCGCACCCTCCAGCGCCTGGAGCTTAGCTCTGTGGCAGCCAGCAAGAGCGACTCAGGCCTCGTGGAGCCTGTGGTCAGATACCTGACCGAGGTATGTATGTGGGGCGGGGGTGCCAAAGAGGAGCCACCTGCGGCCGTCCAGCCTGCAGTCCCACAGCTAAAACCTGGCGGGGAAGAGGGTTGGAGCTTCAGAAAGTACGGCTGCGGGGGAAGCTTTCTGTAGGGCTGCCTGCCTCAGGCTGAGTCCCTGGCCAGCAGGAAAGGTGCCTGGGACCCGGGGCGACCCCCCTGCTCCAGGCAGGTCCCAAGGTCTTGCCAGGCTTCCCAGGGCTCTCCCCTCTGGCTCTTCTATGTGGGGCTGGTCCCTGTGGTTTGCACCTGCCAGGTGTGACTACTTCTACCTGTTTCCCTTTGATCTGCAAATTGAAGGGATATCGCTATGCTCTCGTGCAGTGGGGGTCAGGCCAATGCCCCCTGGTTCCTGAGGAAGGAGAAACACCCCTGACCTGGGTATGGGGCCTCTACTACGAGGCAGGGAGGGCCCGCACCACACCCAGCCCGGGCCCCCTGGGCCTCTGCTCTGTCTAGGAAGGCTGTGTTCTCTCTCACTTGAGCCTGTCTGGAAACCATCTGGGTGACAAGGCCGTGAAAGACCTGAGCAGGTAAGCCGCTCCTGCCCATTCTGAGGGAGTCTGATCTCGAGGCCAGCACCCCGGGGGAGCTGGGTCAGCAGGGACAGGATAGCAGCTCCTCCCCCCTAGTGTGTCCCAGGACCTGGCTCCTCCCAGCTCCGACCCTGCCTCCTTCCTACACTCCTGACGCTCCTGAGCACCTCTCCCATCACCCCGTGTGCAAAAGCCCATACGAGGGCCTCTCTTGACCCTCCAGCCTCAGCTGGCTCTTGGGAGTGTTGGGCACTCAAGCCAGGCAGGCGTACCAGGCCTGGCCTTTGGCAGGGCCCCGCAAGCCCTGGAGAAGCGTGCACCGTGCCGTGCTAGGGGCAGAGTCTACAGGGCCTGGCTTGTGGCTCCCAGAGCTGTGGTTTCTCTGTGGCAGTTTTCTCTAGTGTTGGGGGCCTCCGTCCCTGGAGGCTGATCCCTTCATGTCCCTTGTTCAGATGCCTTCCTTGTTGCCCCTCACTCATTTCCCTGGACCTGTCTGCCAACCCTGAGATTACACGTGTGGGCCTGGAGGAGCTCCTGTCTGCCCTCCAGATGCGGCCCCAAGGCCTCGGCTTCCTTGGCCTGTCAGGTGAGCTTGGGGACAGCGACCAGTGTGACTGGGAGGGGTGTGAGGCAGGGGGAACATGGGATCTCTGCTCTTGACCCGGTTAGCCTGACCCTCAGAGACCCTGTGGTTCGGGGACAGATGCCCTTTCACAAGGATTTCCTAATTACCACTGGGAAGAGGAGGGAACTCAAGGTCAGGACGGCAAACACTTGCTACCAGGAGATCCTCCCGACTTCCTGCAGGGGCTGCTGGGGCCCCACCTTCCCAGCCTGTTCTGGCCACACCCGGCAGGGCACCCCCCAAAGCTGTCTTGAGGGTGACCCCAACTGGCCACCCGGTACCTGTCACGTCCAGCTAGGCCTGCGGCAGGAGAGTACAGGCTTTGCCCCCCAGGGGACCAGGGCTAGGAGTGGGTGTGCACACGGGGAAGCAGCCCCCCCCCGCTTTTGCTCCCGACCCCGCCCCTGAAGGCCGGCTGGCGGGAGGCCTGCACACGGGGCTGCTCCCTGGGTCCTGAGCCTGCTGGACGCGCTGACCTGTCGAGATCAGCAGACCCGGGCGGCCCCTTGTCCCTTGAGGCCCACGGGCACCCCTGTTGTGTCCAGCCGTGGGCGGCACAGATGCGGCTGCAGCTTTCTGGCCAGTGGCCCTCCTGCCTGGCCGCCGGGAGCCCGCAGCCCGGGTGGCCCCTCTGGCGCTCGCACCCCGGCCCCGCTGAGGCCCGCTCCTGCCCCCGCCCGCAGGCTGTGCCGTCCAGGGCCCGCTGGGCCAGCGCCTGTGGCACCAGGTCGCCGCGCGGGTGCAGGAGCTGCAGCTGTGCAGCCGCCGCCTCGCCCCCGAGGACCGCGCCGCGCTGAGCCTGCTGGCCGGCCCGCCGAGCCCCGGCGCCTGCACGCTGGACCGAGGCTCCCGGCTCTTCTTCCGGCGCCTGTGATCGCCCCGCCCCCGCCCCAATAAACGGACGCCACCGCCGCCGTCGCCGCTGCCTCTGAAAGGCGGGAGGAGGCCGGGGGCCCGCTGGGGTGCAGGGCTGGGTCCGCGCTGGCCGCCCGGGGGCGGGGCTGGGGGCGGGGCCGGCCGTTTCCGGCGCGCGCAGGAGCAGACGTCTGGGCGGTAGTCGGTCGGAGCTCCTACGCGGGGACGGGGGTGGCGGGGAGTGCGTGCGCAGGCGCAGACCTCGTGAGTCAAGCGCAGATAGCGGGGCTTGCGTGCGCAGGCGCAGAAGGAAGGAGAGCGCCGAGCGGCCGATCCGAATCCGCACCGGGGCGCAGTCGCCCCGACCCGCGGAGGCAGCCCAGGTACCGGGCGGGGGCGGCGGGGGGAGGGAGGCGGGGCGCGGCCGGGCCGGGCCGGGGGAAGGCGGCGCCGGGGTCGCCCGCGGGCGCCCGCACTCCTGGTCGGAGGAACGGCTCCGTCTCGACGGCCCTGAGCCTGGCGCTCCTGCGGCGGGTCGGACGCGGGCGCTGCCTGCGGGGTCGGTGGCCGGGGCTGGGCCGCCTCCCCCCAGCCCGGGGGCCGCCCCCGCCGGCTCCCCGGCTCCCGGCCGCCTCCCGGGGGCCCCGCACCCCGCCGCCACCGCTCGCCCGAGATGCGGCCCAGCTTCCCGGCCTCCTGCCGGCCCGAGGGCACAGCGGGCGGCCCCACCGCAGCACCCAGCACCCTGTGTGCGCCACTGTGCCGCGGGCGGCTGGGTCCAGGGCCCAGGGGGTCCCCAGGTCCTTGGCTTCCTGCAGACCAGGAACCTCACTCAGCAGGAAGTGAGCGGAGGCTACGGAGAGAGCAGATCCAGACAGAGCGTCTGGGAGACTCGGGGAGGAAGACTGAGCCCGCCCGTGGCTCGGGCACCCAAGAACCAGAGCGAAGGGTCGTTTCCGGGTGACCTCAGTAAACCAGTTATTTTCTGGAACGGGGCAGGGTCGGGGGTCTTGGCGTCAGAACGTCCAGTCCCGGTCTGGAATATGCAAGGACAGCCTCGCCCAGCCACTCCCCAGATGTTATCACCTGTGCCTGGAGACTCCAAGGAACTCATTAACCCCTTGGCCTTTACCACAAGGACATGCGTCATTTGTACTATGAGGTCCCTCCGAGGTCGGGGTGCAGCTCGTGTTAAGACTAGAGCAGGAGGGCAGCCCCGGGGGCTCAGCGGTTAGCACCACCTTAGCTTGGGGCGTGACCCTGGGGTCCCTGGATTGAGTCCCATATCGGGCTCCCTGCGTGGAGCCTGCATCTCCCTCTGCCTGTGTTTGCCGCTCTCCGTGTCTCTCGTGAATAAGTAAATAAAATCTTTTTTTAAAAAATGGAGCAGGAAATGTAACAAAACGGTTGTTCATGGAATTCTAAAGCTTTTCTATCTCGGGTATCTTTCATCTGACTCTGCTGAGGTCAGAGAAACAATTCGTGAGCCCCAGGAGTGTTGGGGGTCACCTCTGAGTTGGCGCTGGCTCTGCTCCCCAGATCTTTGCTGTGGCCACCTGAGCCTGCAGGATGTTTCACGGGATCCCGGCCACTCCAGGCATGGGAGGTGAGTGTGGCCCAAGGTGGTCCCAGGGACCCAGAGGGCCCAGGCCTTCAGCCCCTGCGGCAGAAGCCAGGGGTTGTGGGGAGGTCTGTGTCCGTGGGCTGTTCATCATCAGACGGCCCAGAGAGGACCTCCAGGTGGGGCCGGTTGGGCACAGAGATGACAGCTTTAGTGTGGCTGGAACCTCAGGGATCCTGGGCGTTCTCAAGTCCAGCCAGGGGAGAGGGCACAAGATGTGTGACGAACGTCACTTGTATGCTGTCATTGCACCATAAGTAGGTGTGGTCATTCTGCTGTAGAGGGAGGTCACTAGGAGTGGCAGTGGAATGGGGGGCCCAGGCCTGGGCTGTGGCCTGCTGGCCCGAGGCGTCTTCTGCTCAGGCCCCCCTGCCTACAGATTGGTGCGGAGCTGAAATTAGAACCCCATCCTTCAGATCCCCCTGGGCTCTTGGGGACAGTTCACAGGGTCAGGCCTTGGGGCCAGGGACGGTGGACCAGTCCCCCTGGGGCCACCAGTGTGGCAGCCTGCTAGCTCTCTGCTCTGTTGCAGCCCCTGGAAACAAGCCAGAGCTGTATGAGGTGAGTGGCCGATGCCCACCTGGCCACAGCGGCCAGTAGCCGACAGATGTGAGCCTCACCCAGACCCTGTGGCCTCCCTGGCCCTGCCGCCTGACGCTCTGGCCCCTCTCTCCAACAGGAGGTGAAGCTGTACAAGAACGCCCGGGAGCGGGAGAAGTGAGTTCAGCCTCAGACCGCCCGCCCCAACATGCCTGGTGCCCAGCAGCCCCCCAAGGAGTTTCCCCCAACCTCTGAACCCACCGGCTTACTGAGGTCAAGAGGGCATGGGGTCAGGCTGGGGAACCGTTCCCGAGGAGCCTGTGCCCTGCAGGCCAAACAGCCTCGCCTGGGACCACGGGCGCCCTGGGCCTTGGGGGCCTTCGGGGCATTGGCAGCCGTGGCCCAATGGTCGCACTGCCCTCAGGTACGACAACATGGCGGAGCTGTTTGCCGTTGTGAAGACGATGCAGGCTCTGGAGAAGGCCTACATCAAGGACTGCGTCACCCCCAACGAGTGAGCCCCTCATCCCCGCACAAGGAGAGTGTTCCGGAGGGTGGGCGGCCTGGGCACCGTCCCGGCCAGGACGTCCTCCTGGTGCTGCTGCAGGGCCTCAGGGGGGAGGCGTGCCCACCCCTGGGTCCTGGCTTCTGTCCCCAGCCTGCTCCCCGGGCACACGGGTCCCCGTTGGCAGAAGAGTCAGGGAGGGGAGCACGGGACGTGCTGCTGGCTCGGCCTGGCCCTTAGGAGGCACACGGGACCTTAGCTCGGCGTGACAGGCCTGCCTGGTGAGCCCGCGAGCTGTGGGTGGGGAGGTGTGGCCACTGCATCCCGGGGCAGTGGGAGGGCGCGTCCGTGTCCCCGTCCCCTGTGGGGGACACGTGTTGGCCACCCCTCCCTTCTGCTTGCTCTCCTCCCAGCCTGCCAGGGGCTGCCAAGCGTCCGGGGGGGCCTGGGGGGCCCGGGAGAGCAGGGCCGCAGCCTGGCCGTGTCCGCAGGTACACCGCAGCCTGCTCCCGGCTCCTGGTCCAGTACAAAGCCGCCTTCCGGCAGGTCCAGAGCGCAGAGATCAGCTCCATCGACGAGTTCTGCCGCAAGTTCCGTGTGAGTGAGTGAGTGGGAGGTGGGGCGGGCGGTGCTGTTGCGGGGCGGGGGGGGGGCTGTGCACCCACGCCCCCCCCCCCCACAGCTGGATTGCCCGCTGGCCATGGAGAGGATCAAGGAGGATCGGCCCATCACCATCAAGGACGACAAGGGCAACCTCAACCGCTGCATTGCCGATGTGGTCTCGGTGCGCCCGCAGCCTCCAGGGAGGGCTCCCGCGTGGCCAGGGGGTGGGCAGCATCCAGGAGGGACCTGGCTGGAGGCCCCCGAGCACCAGGGCCCTGGAGGCACACGTGGGCGAGGGGACGCGTGGAGGGCCGGGGGCTGTGGGGACAGGGACACAGCAGGGACCCAGGTGACCCAGCAGCCGAGGGGATGGGCTGAGGGGGGAGACCGTGGGTTCTCGAGGCCGGAGGGGCTGGGTGGGGGCTGACCCGGCCAGTCGGGCAGGGGAAGCAGGCTGGGGGGCCCCACCCTTGGCCCCTGGGCTGGGTCTGTGGTCCCTCACGTGCGCACTCGTCCCAGCTCTTCATCACGGTGATGGACAAACTGCGCCTGGAGATCCGTGCCATGGATGAGGTGGGGCTCCGGGGGCAGGGGTGCAGGGGCTGCATGGCGGGGCAGGGGAGAGGTGGAGGGGCGGGCTCCCAGAGGAGGGAGGAGGAAGCCGCGTGTCTTGTGCACAGATCCAGCCTGACCTGCGGGAGCTGATGGAGACCATGCACCGCATGAGCCACCTGCCTCCTGACTTCGAGGGCCGCCAGACGGTCAGCCAGTGGTGAGTGCGGCTGCGCGGAGCCTCTGGGCGCCCCCGGGCTGGGCAGCCACTCCCGCTCACCCTCAGCGCTGTGCTCCACAGGCTGCAGACCCTGAGCGGCATGTCGGCCTCTGACGAGCTCGACGACTCGCAGGTGCGCCAGATGCTCTTTGACCTGGAGTCGGCCTACAACGCCTTCAACCGCTTCCTGCACGCCTGAGGCTGTACGCTGGGCCCTGGGCCCTGGGCCCCGGGGGCGGGGAGGGCCACCCACTCTGCATGTGACTCCTGCCCCTGTGTCAGCCCTGGAGCCCCTGCCCTCCTCACAATAAAGGCGCTGTCTGACCTCCCTGCTGCTGTGGCTGCGTGTGTCCCGTCGTCCGTCCCCCCCCACCAGTCCTGCTGCTCTGTCTTCCCTCAGCCTCCCGGAGCCCTGGCGTCCCTGGTGGGCAGTGCCTGGGCACCTGGGAGGGAGCCAGCCTTCCCCTGGGCCAGGTGAGGCTGGGATCTGAGCCCCTGCCCCCGTGTCTGGCCCCAAGCTGGCCGAGCCACCTACCCCTCCCTGCCGCGGGGTCACGCCCGCCCTCTTAGTGGCTCGGCAAGGCCCCAGCAGTCTGCCTCAGGGTTGAGGCCGGGCTGCTGGGTGGGCCAGTCCTGCCAGGGCCTGCAGGTGAGGACACGGGTTCAGAGACCAGAGCTGGTTGCTTTCCTAGTGTCACCTGCTATGGGGCCCAGGGCTGTGGGCTCTGCAGGCGACCCCAGCCCGCAGCGTCCCATCACGTCTGCATCCACGTGGGTGCATGCTGCCAGCTGCCGGAGCGAGGCTCCGGGTTCTGTGATCCGTTGTATCCACTTTAGCAACCACGGCGTGCCCAAGGGCCACGCTGACCTCACCATAGCACCCCTCCTCCTGGTAGTGTTTCTGGATGCCTGTGGCCTTGAAGTATGGCACGTCATGTGTTGGTGCCGATGGAGGAAGCTGGAGGCTGCCGGCAGGGAGGCGCCGCTTCACACGGGTGGGGGCTGATGGCACAGCAAGCGGAGGGAGAGGGTGAGGACTTGGGATTGGCCTGGAGCCCCCGATGCCAGCAGGGGCCCCGAGGCAGAGGCGTGTGTGTCACTCGGGTCTTACTAGGAGAAGACAGCAGACGCGGGCCATGGGCAGGATCAGCAGCAGGGGCCGAGGGGGGCCCTGGGGTCTGGGTGCAGGCTGTGTCGTGTGGCACCCACTGTGCCCCCGGGCCGAGCGCACTGGGCAGTGGATACCCCAGAACAGCCTGGTGGGCAGAGCAGGTCCTGTGCGTGGAAGCTGCCGGGATAGAGCGAGTCCGCCTGGGCTCGGGTGGGCGGCGGCACATCATGCTGGAGTCACAGGGGGAAGATGAAGGCTTGGCATCTCCGGGGCAAAGTTGCCACCCTGGGTCCCAGGGGTTCTCCCCAGAGGCCCAAGGCTCCACCACATTTGGAGGCTGGGGTGGGAAGACCAGCTGAGGAGCCGAGGGGGGCGGCTGAGGCCTGGGAAGCCCAGAGGCCCCAGGACACGGAGGGGCCACAGCATCAGGGCGGACTCGGAGGAGCCCAGTCGGCCCGGGGAGGGGAGGCTTCAGGGGAGCCCCGAGGGACCAGGAGGGCCCAGAGCCCCAGAGCCCCAGATCCTGCTGCCAGCGGCTGCTAAACCGACAGGACGGCTGTTCTGATCTTTTTTTTCTTTAATAAAAAAACAAAATTTGTCATTTTAAACATTTTTTTGAGGATTTTATTGTTAACTGATCTCTACACCCGAGGTGGAGCTTGAACCTACAACCCCGAGATCAAGCGCCGCTCGCTCCACCGCCGCCTGAGTCCAGCTCGCGCGGTTCCGTGGCCCCCACAGAGGCGTGGCCCCAGTGAGCCCTGGCCCCGCCAGCCGCCACCCTCTCTGCGCCTGGGATGTGACCCGGGGTGTGACCTGGGGTGTGACCGTGAACGGGCCTCCCGCCAGTGGAATCACGCTTGATTGGTCTCTGGTGCGTTTATTTCTCGTATCTGTCAAAACGTCCTTCCTTTTTTTTTTCTCTCTTTTTTTTTTTTTTTAAAGTAAGTACGATGGGCAGCCCGGGTGGGTCAGTGGGTGAGCGCCGCCTTCAGCCCGGGTCCCAGGATCGAGTCCACATCAGGCTCCCTGCATGGGGCCTGCTTCTCCCTCTGCCTCAGTCTCTGCCTCTCTCTCTGTCTCTCGTGAATAAATAAAATCTTTAAAAAAAAAAAAAAAGACCTTGCAATGGGAGCCGGCTCTATCCCCTGCGCCAGCCAGGTGTCCTTGTTAAGGACGAATGTCCCATCGTACGCACAGGACACATTTTGTTCATCCTTGGGGGGCGCGTGTCCCGGAGGTTGTGAGCGCTGCTGTGGGAGCAGGTGGGCTGGCGGGATGGTGGGTGATGTGGGGGGCTGGGGACACGGGTGGGGACAGTGAGCCAGGAGCTGCAGGCCGCTCTGGCCGCAGTGGGACGGTCGGCAGGTGGAGGGAAGTGGCTGGCCCAGAGCTCACTCAGGCCGAGGGGCTGCGGCCGCCTGCCTGGGACCGGGGAGGGCGGATGGATGGTGGGTCCTGGACCCTGGCCCTGAGGCTAGTGGGCTGAGCAGGGGTGACCCGAGGCGGCAGCCAGGTCCCTGCCTCCTGCTCCAGCCCCAGTGGCCGGTGCCGCGGGTCAGCAAGACGGTAGTTCGGGCCTCCAGTCCTCAGACCTGCGCCCGGGCCTCTCCAGCTTCCCTGCTTATTGGCTCGGGCCCAAGAATCATCTAGACCCCGCGGCTGTTCCCATGCCCTCCTCTGGCCCAGCTCCCCCCAGGACCCGGGGCGGTCACCCTGCAGTGCCGCCCAGCTGTGTAGCAGTGGCGTGACCTCGGGCTGGGGCCGCAGCCCTGGGCACCCCAGGACTGGGGACAGAGTACCCGGGCTCCCAGCTACCGCCTCGGTCCCGACCACACCCCACCGGGCTCAGGGTCAGTGCTCGGCTGAAGGGGGGTGGGGGGGAACACCCACACACGCTGCAGGAGGCGACAGTGCCCTAACCCCGGGCAGGGGTGCCCACGGGCTCCCCGGGCCGGCCCCTCCCCCTGCACTGCCAACCAGGCAGAGATGAGTCCCGGGGTCCAAAGGCCAAGAGGGAGCTGGCAGGGGTGGGCGGGGCTGGTGCTCCAGCCCGAGCCACCGCCCAAGACCCTGCCCGGGGCGACAAACAGAAGGCCCAGGGCCCTCTGGACTTGGGGGGGGCAGCACTCAGCCAGCACCTTAGGGTCCCCTCGGAATCCGCCCCCCGCTCTGGGCGCCGCAGCCCAAGGGACCTGAGGCCGGGGGCAGTGGGCAAGAGCTGCCCAGCGGGGGAGCCGGGCCGGGCTGGGGTGTGCCCCGGGCCGCAGGCCGCATGTCCCGGGCAGGCCCGAGGGGCCGGGTGCCATCGGTGCCCCTCTGCCAGGCCCCCGCGCAGGGCAGCCCCAAGGATGGTGCCGCCGGCTGGAGTGCAGCCGCCCGCAGCCGGGGGAGGACCTGCTGCTGGAATGGTTAACCCGCGGCGCGGCGGCAGCCAATCACAGGGCCCCGCGCAAATACCTGGGACAGGTGCCGCCGGGCGGGTCAGAGCCCAGCCCCAGCCCAGGAGCACCGCGCACCGCCCCGCGCAGGCAGCGGCAGCACAGGGGCTCAGCATGACGGCCCGGGGCCCGCGGGCGCTGGCGCTGCTGCTGGCCCTGCCGCTGGCCCTGCCGCTGCTCGCCGTGGGGGCCCCACCACCCCGCCTGCTGGCCGCGCTGTCCTCGGGCCCCAGCGCTCTGGACCGCGGGGCACTGGGCAGCCTGTTAAATACACTGGCGGACCGTGCGCACTGCACCGACGGGCCGTGTGGAAAGGTAACGGCCCCACCCGACGGGTCCCCCAGCGGCCGCTGCTCCTCCCCAGGCTGGAAGCAAAGGGCCCTGGGCAAACTCCAGGGGGCGGGTCAAGGTGAGGCTGGGTAGCCAAGCACCCAGGCCCTCCCTGTGGCCCGCACCCCCCGCTGCTCCAGGGTTGGGCGCTGTGCGGGGCGCACACAGCTCCGGGAGCCCCGGGCCATCAGATTGGCGGTGGCTCCGGCAAGGAGCCACCCAGGGTGGGGGGACCCCTGCCCTGAGTCCTCTGTGTGCGCGTGTGCACTTGTGTAATTGGGGGGGGGGTGGCGACGGGAGAGTGTGAAAGAGCAATGATGCAGGGGTGCGTGAGAGGGGGAGGGCGGGGGGGGCGTGGACCCCCACAGGAAGCGGGCAGCTGCCGCCCACCCGTCTCTGCCCACAGTGCCTGTCTGTGGATGATGCCCTGGCCCTGGGCGGGCACGAGACGCCGGGGCTCCCAGAGGGGCAGGTCCTAGCGCCCAGACACATTGCCCGCCTCAGTGCCGCCGCCGCCCTCTACCTCAGCGACCCCAGGGGCACGTGTGCAGATATCCGGGCTGGCCACTGGGCCGCCCGCGCTGACCAGCTCTTGGCCCTGCTGGAGGGCCCCACGGCGCTGGCCCCAGGCCTGAGCAGGCTGCTGCAAAGGATCCAGGCCCAGACTGCTGGCTGGCCCGCTGCGGAGGTGAGCCTGGGTAGGGTGGCCAGACGGGGTGGGCGGGGAGGGCCTAAGGGGATCCCCTGGGATGGAGCACTTCGTGGGCTGGGCCCGGCTGCAGTGGGCAGGACACCCTTGGAGCCCCCGGAGGTAGCTGGGGGAATCTGGGCTGGGCCAAGGATCACAGAGGTCCAGTACCACTCAGGGCAGGCCCTGGGGAGTCAGATCAGGCTGTTCAGACTCCTGAGGCCCGGGGGTGGGGGGTCAGGCCCAGTGCGGGTCTTAAGCTGGCAGGACCAGTGGTGGCGCTCTGAGAAGGCTGGTCTGGGCCAGGTCGGGACAGACCTTGGGGTCAGTGGCACTCGGGGGATACTCGGGGCAATGGCAGGGCTGGAGGCCAGAAGGTGACACTGAAGCAGAGGCTGAGCCCTGGCTCCTCCCCTAGGCCTGCGTAGACCTGCCTCACCTGCTGGAGGAGGCAGACAGGGCAGGAGCTCCCAACAGCCCTGGCCTGGTGCTGGCCGCCCTATTGGACCATGTCAACAGCGGGTCCTGCCTCCGAGCCCTGCCCACCCCCCAGTATTTTGTAGACTTTGTGTTTCGGCAGCACGGCAGCGAGACTCCCAACATCACACTGGCTGGTGAGGCTTGGGCTGGGCCAGAGTGGGGGGCGCCCTGAGTGCCCGGCCTCACTGACCATGGGGGAGGCAGGCCCGGAGCCCACACCGACTTTGCCATTCTGCCCCCCCCTGGCCAGAGCTGGAGGCCTTGATGCAGCGCCTGGG